GGAGCCCCAGGAAGGGACTGCAGCCTGCAAAGATCAGCAGCAGCAAAGCAGGAGCACCCCAGGGAGGCACAGAATCACCAGGCTGGAAAAGAACTTCCAGATCATCCAGTCCAACCTTCCCAGTCTGCTCCTGACTCGGTGGCCAGGAAATTCCCCCTCCATCCCTCGGCTCTGCAGTGAACTCACAAGGATAGGGCTGCTCTTCTTACAAGCAGGAGGCTTTTATGTTGTAAATTAAAAGATCCAGACAAAATGAACCCTGAGAGCTGAGTCCCCAGGAATCACAATGACTCAAACACCAGCTTTTCACAAGAAAATAAATTCACTGCTCTGGCTGCTTTAATCATCAGGCTTTTCTACCTTTACCATCGCCCCAGCAAACACTTGTGCCTTCATTTAATGCTCTTCAGCCTAATACCCACCACAAAAGAAATCCAGCAGAAAGCCTGGCTGATAACTTCAGCGAATTTCCATCTGACCCTCCCCTTGGGTTTTGGGGTGAGTGTTGAGCGAAGGAGCTTTAAAAGCATCTTTTCATTTAGCAGAGGCTCACCGAGCCAAGAATCATACCTCACTCTGTCAGAAGAAAAACAAGATGTGGGCTCAGAGCAATTGAGCAGCGCTGGAGCCCGGGATGGAAAATCTTGCCTCCAAAGCCAAACAAGGTTTCACTGCCAGTGTTGTAAGGCAGGGAGATGCAAAATTTTTGTGGCTGGTGTTTCTCACCCGTGCCTTGGGATCTGGGGCTCTTTGGAAATGAAAGAGCCCCGGTTTAGGTGATGCTTTAAATGAGAATTGTTTAACCCTTGGTCGGGCTGTGAGAGAAGAGCAGGCACGGGCATCCCGGGAAGGGAAAATGAGTGAAAATGGGTTAAAATTCAGTGTTTGGGCTCTTGGTCTGTGCAAAACGCCTCAGCAGGAAATTTCAGTCAGGACAGGAATTTTAGGGTCAGGACAGGAATTCCAGAGCTGGAGGAAGGAGGAGGGAAGGAGCTGGAAGTGATTGAGAGCAAAGCATCTTTTAGGGGCAGAAAACTGCCCAGAAGGACCTGATTTGGGGCTCTGTGGAGTGAGAGAGGCAGAGCTTCACTTCCCCATCTGCGCAGCCTCGCAGGGTGAGGGCAAAGGAGAACAAACATAAATAAATAAAAAAACTTTGAAAATCCCAAAACAAACCTAAAACAAACCCAAAACAAACCCCACTTTTTAAATTTTTTTTTCCCCTATTGATTATTTCATTCCAGCCCCAGGGCTGCTCTGGGCAGGGGAATGGAAGCTGGGCAGGAGGAGAGGGAGAGGGAGAGGGGAGTGGGATCCTGGTGAAAGAGAGTGGGATCCCGGGAAAAGGGAGTGAGATCCCGGGAAAAGGAGTGGGATCCCGGGAAAAGGAGTGGGATCCTGGGAAAAGGAGTGGGATCCCGGGAAAAGGAGTGGGATCCCGGGAAAAGGGAGTGAGATCCCGGGAAAAGGAGTGGGATCCCGGGAAAAGGGAGTGAGATCCCGGGAAAAGGAGTGGGATCCCGGGAAAAGGGAGTGAGATCCCGGGAAAAGGAGTGGGATCCTGGGAAAAGGAGTGGGATCCCGGGAAAAGGAGTGGGATCCGGGAAAAAGGGAGTGGGATCCCGGGGAAAGGAGTGAGATCCTGGGAAAGGGAGTGAGATCCTAGGAAAGGGAGTGGGATCCCCGGGAAAGGAGTGGGATCCCGGGAAAAGGGAGTGAGATCCTGGGGAAAGGAGTGGGATCCCGGGAAAAGGGAGTGAGATCCTGGGAAAGGGAGTGGGATCCCGGGAAAAGGGAGTGAGATCCTGGGGAAAGGAGTGGGATCCCCGGGAAAGGAGTGGGATCCTGAGAAAAGGGAGTGAGATCCTGGGAAAGGGAGTGGGATCCCAGGGAAAGTAGTGGGATCGTGGGAAAAGAGAGTGGGATCCTGGGCAGGGGAAGGGCATCCCGGGCCGGGCTCGCTGCGGTCGGGAGATGGCAGCAGCACTTTGCTCTTTGCTCTTTGCTCTCTGCTCGGACGGGCCAGGCCGGCCCCCGGGGGCTCCCGAGGCGCTGCCCCCGATCCCGGTGGGATCAGCCCCGCTCCTGGCCCGCAGCCGCCTCCGCAAGCCCGGCCCTGCTGAGCCGAGCTCAGCTCGCACAGAAAGAACCGCCCAGCACAAATTCCCACCTGGAAACGCCTGGAGGGAATTCCCAGCCCGCCCCGGGCAGTGGGGATGGAGGGGGAAGCGCTGGGGCAGGAGAGAGGATCAGCTGAGCTCCCGAATTTGGTTTGGGACAGAGTGTGAGCCTGAAATCAGAGTGTGAGCCTGAAATCAGAGTGTGAGCCTGGAAATCAGAGTGTGAGCCTGAAATCAGAGTGTGAGCCTGAAATCAGGGTGAGCCTGAAATCCAGAGTGTGAGCCTGGAATCCAGTGCCAACCTGAACTCCAGCTCCTCTGAGCTTGTCTCCCATCTGCTCCACTCCCACCCACGCAGGGCGTGCCTGGCCGTGGGTGCCATGGGGACATCCATGGAAATGTCACTGGGAAATGTGCTGCAGGAGGACGAGGTGCCCTCGGCGGCCCCGAGAGGCCACGGCAGGACCCCGACCCCGGCCCCGGGGCCAGCTGGGGTGAAAAGGCTGCTTGAGAGAGGTCAGGAGGAGAAAACCAACCTGCTTTTCTTCGGCAATTATGAAGTGACAAATTACCAGCGAGAGAGCTCATCTGTCTGGGTTTGTTTGGAGAGTCCCCTCCTCTCCGCAAACCTGAGGCACGGCGAGGGTCGGGATCACAGCCCTTCTCTTAAGGATTTCCAAACACTCTGCTGACACCCCACTCCATCTCTGTCAGCGCTGGGAATGCTCAGAAATTCAGCCGTGCCTTCCCAAGAGCATCTCCCACTCTCCATCCTCTCCAGGACCCGGCGCACAGGGAATGGGGGTCCCACCCTGATCCCACATCTCCAAGAGCTCGGGATTTAAGGAATTGTGGTGTTCCTGGTAAAGCAGGGAGCCCCGGAGCTCTCTGTGTGCCGTCACAGCTCCCAGGGCAAGGGTGAATGCCGCGCACACCCAGCCCCGAGACACAACAAAAGCCCGCTGAGGTTTAATTGCATTGCAATCATCTGCTGGTATCAAGGAATCGGGAGGAGAGTCAAAACAGGCACTTTGATCCCTGCAGAAGCTGGAAAAACAGCAACGGCTTGGCCATGGTGCAAAACCTCCTCCTCTTCCTCCTCCTGGAGGGAGAGCAGAGCCCTTCCCAGGTCTGGGGCTCTGGGAGTGCCCCCCAAGAAGAAAACACAGCAGGAACCAAACACAAAATTTAAAAAACCCCACCAAAAATCTGTGGCCAGCTCGGCTTTGCTTTCTTTTCTGTTTCAAGCATGCTTAAAAATAGAAGCAGACCCGATTTTCAAAGCGGTTTTGCCAAGCAGCGGGCAGCAGCGACCCGCGGAGCATCCCGGGTTGCCCCACACACCCCAGCCCGCTCCACCGGGCCCAGGGGCACAAAAACCCCTCGGGAGGGAGGTCAGTGTTTACTCTGCAAACACCGAGTGCTGCCCGGAGGTTAACGAGGCACACAAGCAGCTGGAGATGGGAGCGTGGCCGGCCGGGTGCTGCCGGCTCCCTGGGGGCTCCCCAAGCGGGGCAGGGAGTGGGAATGGGCACTTTTGGGTAAATAATCCCTGTGCCCCTTCCCTGCCCTCCAAAAACCTCCTGGCTCCGCTTCCCGAGTGACAAAACCTCATTTTTCCCAGCACGGATCGGCGGTAAGCGAATTGGGGCTCTGATTTTCCATCTCCATCCACCCGCCGGGGGAGGATTTATCCCGGCTGTAAACCCGACAGCGAGCTCAATCTCGTTTGCACCTGGCAACAAATCCAGGTTAAGCGCAGCCTAAAGGCTCCCGAGCCACCCTCTGCTGCCAGCGCCGCTCCTGCTCCGGGAGGGACTGGGGGGAGCAAACATCCCCAGCATCCCGTGTTGGGAATGCCCCAAAGCCCTGTGAGTCCCCAAATTACTCTGTGTGCCCTGAAAATCCCTGTGTGCCCCTTAAATCACTCTGTGCACCCAAATCCCTGTGTGTCCCTTAAATCTCTGTGTGTCCCCAAATCCCTGCGTGCTCCTTAAATCATTCTGTGCACCCAATCCCTGTGTGCTCCTTAAATCACTCTGTGCCCCCAAATCAGTGCTCCTTAAATCATTCTGTGCACCCAAACCCTTGTGTGCTCCCAAATCCCTGTGTGCCCCCAAATGCCTGTGTGCCCCCCAATCCCTGTGTGCTCCTTAAATCACTCTGTGCCCCCAAATCCCTATGTGCCCCCAAATGCCTGTGTGCCCCCCAATCCCTGTGTGCTCCGAAATCACTCTGTGCCCCCCAAATCCTTGTGTGCCCCCAAGTCACTGTGTGCCCCCCAAATCCTTGTGTGCCCCCAAATCCCTGTGAGCTCCTTAAATCACTCTGTGCCCCCAAATCACTCTGTGCCCCCCAAATCCCTCTGTGTCCCCCCAATCCCTGTGTGCCCCCCAAATCACTGTGTGCCCCCCAAATCTCTGTGCCCCCCAAATCCCTGTGCCCCCCAAGCCAAGCCCTGGCACAGCCCCAGCCCAGGGTGGCCTCTGTCCCCGTGGTGCCACCGGGCTGGCACTGAAATGCCATCGCAGGGCATCGCCGAGCCACAGCGGGCACCGGGCAGCGGGATCGGGAAATCCCTCACGGGAATACCTGGGGAAAAGGGAAAAGGTCCTGGGGAGAGCTGGGGCTGCTCCTTCCCTCCACATTTGTTGGATTTGCAGTGAATGGGGACCCCACTGGGGACAGCCCCCGGGAATAACTCCAGACACACCAATAAGCACAAACGAGGACTTGGACTGGCTTATATTTTAAAATGCTCATATATTTTCTCTTTTTTTTCTCCTTTTTTCTTTTTCTCTTTTTTTTTCCTTCTCATTTTTTCCACAATTCTAATACAATTGTTCTCAAAATACTGGCGTTTCCAGCAGCAGTTCTTTCTTTTTTTTTTTTTTTAATTTTTTTTTTTTTTTTTTTGTAACCATTTTTGTTGTTTTTGAAGTGAATAATAATATACGGTAGTGATTTCACAGTAAAACAGACCTGCAGGAACGCCAGAGATACGTGACAAAAGACACCCCCAGGCCAGCCCTCCCCCTCCCTCCCACCCCCCTCCCATCCCCAAAAAGATTTTGGAAGTGGGGGGGAAAAAAAATAAAAAGTTCATTCAAAAAAATTATTTCAAAAGAGATTTCATATAAAGCCTTTAAAACACGGTCAGAAGTTTCTCCCTCTTCTCCAGATCCCTGTGGCTGAACATTTACAGAGAGAAAGAGAGAAAAAATAGAGAGAGTTTATAACAATCTCTGTAGAAGAAACAAAACAATCCAGGAAAGAAAATATCCAAGGATACAGTAAGGGATAAAATTACATTTGTACAAAAATAGATTTTTAACTTTATTGATGCTTTAGATATTTTTTTCCTTATCTTTTATCTTTTTTTTTTTGTCATTCTAAATTTTAATGTCATTTTTTTTTAATCTATGTATCCCATAGCCAAGGCATCCATCACTAAGTATTGGGAATTGCTAAAGCTATTCTTTACTCCAAACCACCTGCTTAAAAGAATGAAAACAAAACAAAACAAAACAAGAAAAAGGAAACAAAAAGAAGAAAAACAAAACAAAAAGGCATCTTAAAATAGATGCAGTTCCTTTGTCTCGAGGAATAAAAATCCAGATTTGGCATCTGCCAATTCGGAAAGGGATTCAGATACAATGGACGCAAAACACGGGGGGGGGAAAAAAAAAAAAGCGAGGAGAGGGGAAAAAATAAACCAAAAAAAAAAAATTGACTTAAACCACAAATTGCCAGGAAATTCTGTAATTGCTACAGTTCTCTAAGTGTATATGTGAGTGGGGTATTATACAGTGTCGATATCTACAGTACATACACGGACACACAGGGACACACAGGGACACCCCGGTGAGCCACCCGCACCCAAGGGACAGCACAGCTCCTGTGCCAGCACCCATGGGACAGCACAGATCCCCTGCTGCTTTTGGGATCAGCTCCCCAGCTGCTTTTGGGGACAGCACAGCTCCCCAGCCTGCTTTTGGGATCAGCTCCCCAGGTGCTTTTAGGGTCATCTCCCCAGCTTGCACTGATGGGGTCAGCAGCTCCTCAGTCTGCTTTTGGGATCAGCAGCTCCCTAGCCTGGCTTTGGGATCAGATCCCCAGCTTTCTCTTGGGATCAGCAGCCCAGACTGCTTTTGGGGTCAGCAGCCCTGTGTGGTTTTGGGGTCAGCTCCCCAGCCAGTTTTGCCAGCCTGCTTTTGGGGTCAGCTCCCCAGCCTGACTTTGGGGTCAGCAGCCCAGCATGGTTTCATGGTCAGCAGCCCATCCCGGCTTTGGGGTCAGCAGCCCAGTGTAGTTTTGGGGTCAGCAGCCCAGCCCAGGGCTGTTCCCAGTGCAGGGGTCAGCAAGGCCAGGGCTCAGCATTTCCCCCACCCCAAGGGCCCCCGGGGCACTCCTGGGCAGCTCCAGTGCCAAGGGAAGCTCGGGGTTGCCAGGGAGGGGTTTGGGATGTGCTGGGCTGCTGTGGGGTGGGTGGAACACGCAGCCAGGGGTGCAGCAGGTGGCTGGAAGGCTGATGTTTGTGCTATCTTTAGAAAATTAAAGATTGTCCCACCAACGAAAAAGGAATTAAAAGAAGCATTACAAACAGATCACCCGAATCTGAGGAGATTTTTGCAGGAGCACTGAGAGCTGGTGACATCCACGTCCTACCTCTCCAGGGAATAATGTGCCTTTTGTTTTCCTTCAGCCACGCTCACCTCTCCACACTCTGCCTTATCATGATGAGGACAACAACAAAAAAAAGCCCAAAGTGAAAAGAACACAAAGGAAAGACTCAAACTCATGCAAAGCTCGTTGCTTTAAGGCTGCTCTGGCTCTTCCCAACACACAAAAGCTTCTCCTTCCCACAGGAAGGGCTGGGGTGACCATGGAGGGGCTGGGCTGGGCTTTGGGGGCTCAGGGAACCCCAATTCCCTTTCACCAGCTGAGATTAAATCCCCAGGACAAGGCTCAGCCTTTCCCAAAATCCCCTCCACCACAGGCATGGATTGAGGCTGTGCTGCTCCAGCAGGGAAACTGAGGCACGGGGATGAGCCTGACCTGGAGCTTGGGGTCTGCAGAGCCTCCCCCTTGGCTTTGTAAGGTCAGATACTAAAGGGGATGGGATGGGGTGGGATGAAATGGGATGGGATGAAATGGGACACGGTAGGATGAGGACAGATAGGGAAAAAAGGGGATGGAAGATGATGGAACGTGACAGAATGGAAAAGGATGGGATGAAGTAAAATGGGATAAGGATGGGATGGGATGGGATGGGATGGGATGGGATGATGGAACGTGACAGAATGGAAAGGGATTGGATGAAATGAGATGGACAGGACAGGATGGGATGAGATGAAATGAGATGGGATAAGATTGGGATGGGATAATGGGATGGGATGGGCTGGGATCTCCCACTGTGCCACCCTGCAGCCACCACAGCACCCAAGATTTCCTCCCCAGCCATCCCCCAGGAAAAAAGTGGCTCAACCCACCAGAGACCAGCGGGTTTATCCTAGTGCAACATCCACCAACTTCCCCAAAGCTTTTCCTCTGTGCCAAGCAAGTCCCAGGCTCCTTTCTGCCCAGGGCTGGGGGCTCTGGGCTCTGCCACCTCCCTGCCCGCCCTGGGGCTGTGCCAGCCTCCTCCTGGCAGGGAACAGCCTGCTCGTGTTTCCTGGCACCCTCGCCAGATTTCATTTCTCCTGCCTCGTTTTCTTGGCAAATTCTTGCAGGGTGAAGCTGTTTAATAATATTTTCAGTGGCTTGCAGGCTGCTGGGGAAGCAGAGCCAAGGCGCTCTGCCTGCCTCTGCCGGTTCGCCGCGCCGGGCCAGCCCCAGGGGGAGCTGCCACCCCAAATCCCCAGAGGTTTTTGTATTTTGGAGCTGCAGGGGATGGAGCTGGGCACTCCAGCTGGGATGGCAACAGGCAGGGGGCAACGGTGTCCCCTCCAAAAGAGAGTGGGAGTGAGGTGGTGGGTGCTGCTCCATCCCCCTCCAGGAACAAAGGAGGAGTTTTCAACCAGCTGCAAACCATGGGGAGCAAGAAGGGATTTTGGGGGCTTCATCCTTTGCTTTTTAAAGCACAGAGCACATGGAAGTGGTGGGGAAGCACCTCCTCCTCAGCTCCCAGCACAAGGGGGGAAAACCCTTCCCAAGATCCCTCATCATTCCCTGTGCTTTGTTTTCTCTCCAACTCGTGTTTTTGTGGGGCACAGGAGACACCTGATGAGGAGGGAGGGGAAGGGGGATGGTTCCCTCGCTGGCTACACACTCCTGGGGGAACCCCATCCCGTGGGCTGTGGGCACATTCCTGTCCCTAACCCCAAAATCCTGTCACCAAGACTGAAGGAAAGGGTTGTGCAAAAGCCAAGGTGCTTTTGGTGCTCTCAGAATCCCGGGGAGGACAGGGATGGTGCTGCTGCCACATCCCCCACCCAGCCCGGCCCTCCCACCCCCACGGGGCAGATCCAGGGCAGGGGACAGCCCTGTTCTTGCTTCAGCACTAATTAACAGCCGCAATTAACCAGCCTGGCCGAGCACTCCCACTAATTGTTGCCTTGCAGTGTTTTGCAGGGCTGAAAGAACAGGAGCAGCTCCTGGGTGAGCCCCAAAACCCCAGAGCGGGGTCACGGTGGGTGCTGGGGCAGCACTGGGATGTACTGGGATGGACTGGGATGTACTGGGATGCCGTGCTGAGGGCAGGGCTCCCAGCAAACCCCCAGGAGCTGGGGAAGGGCCATGGGGAGTCCCTGGCAGCCTTAAAGCAAGCGCTGCAGCTGGCTCATGTCCACACCTTCGGGGTGGGCAGCGATGCCCGGGCACCCTCCAGGGTGGCCAAAGGGCATTTCCTGTGCCACTGCCACCGTGTTTTGGGGGATTCAGCTCAATCCCAAATACTCTGAAGTGGAAGGAGACGGCTCCTGTGTGCAGCCACGGGTGACTCACTCAGGGGCCACGGCCTCTCCCTCCGCAAAGTAACTACCGAGACTACTAAGAATAGTTAGAAACCAAAAATAGAAATTATTTCTTTTTTTTTTCTTTTTTTTTCTTTTTTGTCTTCTTCTTCTCTTTTTTTTTTTCTTTTTTTTTTTCCAAAAAACTCCATCTTCTGAAAATAGCCCAGCTGCAAATCTGGCAGAGTCCAACCACTCCCCTCGGCTCGTCGGAACCCCCACTGCCCCGAGGGCTGGCACCGTCCTTGTCCCCAGGGGGAGAGGGCTGGCAGGTGACACCAGCCCGTGGTGGCTCATCCCAAACCTCATGGCACGGCGGGGGGCAGGGGTTGGCAAAGCTCTCTCCGCTCCCACTCCTCTACAAGAAGCACAGGGAACCAGCGGGCAGGTCTGGAGACGCAGCAGTGACAGCGAACGCACAGGGAGGGCAGGATGACCAGGAGGGTCCCCCGGAGCAGACGGTGCCTCCAGGACAGCAGGGAGGGACGGGCTGGGGCCGAGGAAAGCAGAGGAAGGGCCCCGAGGGAGCCCGGCCGGGCGAGGGACTGACCCAGCAGAGTTTTTAAGTCATTTGGTGCGGCGCTTCCAGCATTTCCATCAGGAAGGTGTCGATGGGCGTGTCGCCTATTAGCTTGAAGAAGAAGAGGTGCTCCAGGCATTTCAGGCCGATGGATCGCAGGGCTGGGAGGCGGAGCAGGAGCTTGGCAAACCTGGGGAAAGGGAGATACGGCACGGTCAGACATCGCCAGGTGCAGCCCTGCTTCTGCCCCGGCCCCCAAGGCTTGGAGTCGAAGTGCTGGGATCAAATCGTGGGGCTGCAGGCAGAGATGTGCAGGGAAATCGGGAATTATGGCCCAGCCTCGGAGATCAGGGGAGATTCACAACAAACAGGGGCTGGGAACTGAGCTGGGAGGGTGGAACAACGGATGAAAGGGCAGCCCTGGAGTGGGGGACACCCCGAGATGCTCCTGGGGTCCCTGCACTGCAGCCACTGAGAGGAGGCACCAGGGATCAGCCTTGGCACTGGCAGGGCTGCAAACAGCAGCAGCTCAAATTTTGGCCAGGGAAAAGGCAAACAGCAGGAAAGAGGCTGGAGGAGATGCCCAGTGGGGTGAGCTGGCACTTGGCTGGGTGATGCCCCTTTTCCTGCAGGCTCTGGGCAGCCCCAGCTGAGCCCTGGGGCTGCCAGCCAGGGGTGACACCGAGGGTGACACAGGAGCTGGAGGGAGCTCTGCAAACCAGGGGTGCTCCCCTGTGAGGGGGCTCTGAGGAGGGCAAACAAAAGCCCTGTCCCCTGCTGGAGCAGATGGTTTCAGGTCACAGCTGCCCAGGAGGGCTGGGCAGAGCTGGCAGCTCTGCAGGACCCAGCCAGGATGGCAATGAGCCACCCACAGCCACCCTCACAGGGAAAAGCTGCTGGTGCTGGATTCTGAGTGTGACAGGAGCTGTGGAGCCAGGAGAAAGCCACCAGCTCCTGCAAGAGTGCCTTGGAGCAGCCCAGGTGCCACTGGATGTCACCTCCTGGAGTGAGTGAGTGCTCCCAAGCCAGGGAAAAGCCCTTTCATGGCCACAGCAGGGTCATCTGCTTTTCCTGCTGCAAAATCAGGGCTTGAGCAGCAGCAAAGGGCCAGGCAGAATGGCAAAAAGCCCTTTCATGGCAGCAAAATCAGGGCTTGAGCAGCAGCAAAGGGCCAGGCAGAATGGGACCCTGCAGAAAACACACACACAGACATGCACAAGCACACAGATATTCTACATGCATGCATAATTCCCTCTCCCTATTTTTTTTTAATTTTTTTTTTCTGCTGAGCTGGCGAGAACGGTGGGAGCAGAGCCAGGAAAAACAAATCAGCCCTACCATCCCATTCAGGAAGTTTCACTTTAAACCAAACCAGATGATGGCTCCAGCCCTCGGATATGTTTAACTGTGAGATAACCAGCCCAGAGCACAACGTGCCAGGGCTGGGAGGGGAGAAAAGAGCCCTGATTCCTGATTCCCTGAGGCTGCTGGCTGGCACGTAGGCACCCAGCCCTCCCTGTGGAGCTGCAGGGCGGGAGCAGGGCTGGGTTTCTCCTGGGAATGCCTCTCTGTGCAGAAAAATTCCCTTGTGGTGTTTGCAGGGTGCTCCCAAGCTGCTGCTGGATGGGGATTTGGGGCACCTGAAAAGGTGGGAATTCCAGAAATCCCACAGCATGGAGCAGGGGAAGGTCCCAGACGTGGCTCAAGCACAGGGAGAACTTGTTTGCAGCTGGTGAGCACATGGTGCCACGGGGCCAGCAGGATGCCCAGAGTTTCAGAGAACTTTGGGGAGCTCTTGTGCAAGCTCAGCCCAGGGGTTCACCCTGCTGAAGCTCCTGGGATGGTGCCACCATTGCCCTGCACCCCTGAGGGATGCAGGGGGGGCAGCAGGGCCCAGGCACAGCTCTCAGGACATCCCTGAGCCTGCAGAACCTCTCAGGTCACCAAGGATGGGTGTGAGCATCATCATGGGTGTGACCTTCGACCAGCCCAAGGTCACTCAAAGCCAGTGAGAGATGAAATTGCAGAGCCCCTGGTGCAGCTTCTGGGCTTCAAACACTCCCTCAAACACCACAGGGCATTGAGGCAGAGCCCTGGGGAGCTGCTGTGGACTGGTGCTGTCCCTGTGCCACCCTCTGCGTGTGCCAGGCTGCAGACCCTGCACAAGGTGCAAAGCTCAGCCCACCAAGGGAATGTTGCAGAAGAGCTGCTGGCCATGATTCCCAAGCTCTCCTGGTGCCAGGAACAGTTCTTCTGCAACACCACAACAGCCAAAGTCCAGGGGCTGGCTCTGGATTTGCTCCAGAAGTGCAGTTTAATAAAGATTTCTGGAAGAGGTGAGCACAGCCCTGTGCTCACCCCTCAATCCCCCTGCTCACCACAAACCAAACACACCCCATGGCACCCCCATCCTCACTCTGCCTGCCTCAAACCAACCAGCAGCGTCCCAGAAATCCGTTCACAACACACCTTTCTTCATCTGCCAGCATTCTGAGACCCAAAATGGGGGAAAAAAACAAACCCAGCATCACTTCTGAGGGCAGGCTCTGCCCGCTGCACTCGCTGCTGTGAAAGCACCCCTTTCATTGCACACCCACACCCCGCCAGGAATGCAGGTGAGATGCAAATCCCAGTTGCCTGGGCTGTTTTCCCCCCACCATTCATGCACCAGTAGCAGCTTCCAGTGCTGTGCTTGGTTTCTCAAGAAGCTGTCAGGAACTTAACTGGCAGTTGCCAGCTCCAGGCTGTAACTGGGAAAATGCGCCCACTCAGCTCTGGAGCCATCCAGGAACACATTCCTGATTCCCCCTCCCATTCCCAGCTGGATTGGGGGAGGCAGGGAGGGGAGAAAAAGAGCATCAATTGAGGCTTTCACTTCCCAGCAATGATGCTCATCTGCCACTGAAAATTAACTCCATGTGAGTCCTGTTTTTGCTGCGGTTTCGCTGGCCGTGGTTTCCTGAAGGGAAATGATACCCCCATCCCACACGTGCTCATCCCACTGCTGGGGCTGTGGCAGCTGGGGCTCCTCAGCTCTGCCCACCTTGCTGGATTTCCTGGCAAGGGAATAAAGAGCTCTGTGCACTGCACAGGGGAGGATTTTTAGGGATGCTCAGAGCTGGAGGGAGTAGAAATGAGGGATTTACCCGCAGGGAATCACGGAGAACAGAGAGCCCAGAACAGAGAGGGGACCCTGGGAGCTGCAGCACCCATTGCAGGGTGGTTGCAGGGGGTGCAGGAGGAGGGCACAGGGAGCTGACCTGCCGGGCTGGTCGGGGTATTTGTGTTTGCAGTAAGCCTCTAGCGACGCGTACACCTTCTCCCGCAGCGCCTCCACCTCCGCCGGGTTCGACAGCCCCTTGGAGTCTGAAAGGCAACACAAAAAAAAACCCAAAAACATCAGGCAAACACCTCCAGCCTGCCCAGGCAGGCAGCAACCCCTCTGTGCACTCCCTCCATCTCTTCCAGCCCCACCAAAGTGTGGCTGCAGGCTCTGAGCTCCAGGCACTTGGGGAGCACTCCAAGGTTTACCCCACAAAATTAGATTTTTTCTCACCTCATACCCAAACCCCAAATGTTTTGGCTCATTCCAGCGGTCCCAGACACTCATTTGAAAGGGATTAATTCCCCCTCCAGCCGAAATCCCTCCAGCCCTGTGGTGGGGCTGAAGGAGAAGCCCCTGGAAGTGTGGCTGCAGGCTCTGAGCTCCAGGTACTTGGGGAGCACTCCCACAAAATTAGATTTTTTCTCACCTCATACCCAAACCCCAAATGTTTTGGCTCATTCCAGCGGTCCCAGACATCCTTTGAAAGGGATTAATTCCCCCTCCAGCCGAAATCCCTCCAGCCCTGTGGTGGGGCTGAAGGAGAAGCCCCTGCTCTGGCACAGCCCCAGGACAGGGCACAGTGAGGATCTGTTTTTAGCAGGGTGAAAGGGACAGTGCAGAAATCGATATCCCCAAGCACATGTGCCACGGGAACCTCTCCAGATTCCCCTTCTTTGACCATAAATGGCTAATCCCAAATTACAGACAATAAATTACTGCTGATTACAAGGAGAGGGGGGGACTAAAAAAAAAAAACAAACCAAACTGGTCAAGAAGAAAAACAAACCCATGAAACTGTAATAAACCCTGCTGGAACAGCATGGCCTGGCTGTGGTGGGAAAATCCAGGCAAGGAGCTGTGCTTGGGCACACGCTGTGCTCAGGGAGGGCAGGGCTGGTGTGGATGGGGAGGTTTGTCCTTGGCTGCCATCTGGTTCTGCTCTGATCCACCCTGAAATCCAGAGATCCCCCCAGAGAGCTGTGCAGGTATGTGCAGGCTGCCTCCTGCTGCACAGGGATTTGCTCCCTGGAATGTTGGAGAAAAACCCTGGCACTGAACTTTCCTCTTCCCTTGGGCAGCTGGGGCTGAGAGGGAACAGGGAGCAGTGTGACCCTCCCAAAGTCTGTGAAATTATGGTCAAAACCTGAAGGTTTTGTGAATTTTATGAGCACATTTCATGTCTTTCAGCCTCTCCAGGTCTGCAAAGGGCTTTTTCAGAAACACAGGTAATAAAAGCCCTTGGATGACGAGGTTGGGAAGCAGAGACAATTATCTCCATGCTCTGGTGTTGCTCTAATCCATGTTTTTCTCTTCAACAACATCTAGATCTCACTTGGTTCCAATTCAGGGACAATTCCCTCAAGCACCTGAACTTTCTCTTCACAGTCACTCTAAAAGGGGGAGAGCTGACAGGACAAGGGAGAATGGCTGTAAACTGAAAAAGAGTAGGATTAGATTGGATTTTGGGAAGAAATCCTTCACTGGGAGGGTGGGGAGGCCCTGCACAGGGTGCTCAGAGGGCTGCCCCATCCCTGGAAGTGCCCAAGGCCAGGCTGGATGGGGCTTGGATCACCCTGGGACAGCGGAAGGTGTCCCTGCCCAGGGCAGGAGGTTTGGAACAAGATCAGCTTTAACGTCCTTTCCAAACCAAACCAACTTTCACCCCTGCCCTGTGGAATTTGGGTGCCCTCTGCTATTTCCAACAGGGCTTTTTGGGGAGGAAAAGGAGCCAAAAGCACAGGAGAGCAGCCAAGAGGGGCCAGGGGAGCAGAGGCAGGCACGTACCGGGGTTGAAGAGGACAATGGCTCGCAGGCAGCCCAGCTCTGTCTTGTCCATCAGCATGTCCCTCATTTTGGACACCAGTTCTGTCAGTACTCTGCAAAAGGACAGAGAAAGCACAGAGTCAGCATGAAAATAAAATTAAAAAAAAAGGGGAATGAAAAGCCCCAGGTGTCAGAGCCGGAGGAAGAAGCTCCGGTCACGTTTAACAAAGCTGGGGATGGGGCTGGCCTGTACCAGCTGAGGATGTGGCCTCATTTTCCTCCTCCATCAAAAATAGCTCATTAGAAACATCAATAGTTCCTGTGAGATACAGCAGGGACCATAAAAACCGCCTTCATCCATTCACTGAGAGGCTCTGGCACCTGAGAAAGCTGCCTAAAAATAAAAAATAACAATAAAAACCCACCCCAACAGGTATCTAAAAGTAATTTCCTCTGCCGGTAATTTTTATTGCTCCCTTTGCTCTTACTGAAGGTGTCGGTCTTGAAATATTTTCCACTGATTGCCCAGTTTTTCATGTTAGATCCTGCAGCAAAGCCATGATCTTGCACTTATGACCTCACAGGAACAAATGATGTCACCCAGGTCCGAAGAACAATTTCCTCACAGAGCAGAGCAGCAAAGGTGATTTGGTTTCAACTCAAGATGAGTCTCAGGGAGAGAAATCAGCATTTCAGCAGCGTCTGGAGTCACGCTGTGGGTCAAACACCCTGCAAGCCTGGCTTTAAAGCACTTTCCCAAAGCCTGAGATTAAAGAGCCCTGGGGACACGCCTGTGGAACCTGCTGAGGATCGCTGGGGCCTCCTCATTGCGCAAATAAAATCGCGCCTTGGTCCAATTAAAGATGAAAAGGAACAAAGGACTGGCCTCCTCGTAACATTAGAAGGCATCTGGACACCATGAAAGGGGCTTTGATTTGCACTGGGCAGCCTCCTCTGCGTTTGGGGCTGTTGGGTTTTTTGCAGGTTTCAGAGGAAGGGTTTTCTCCCTGTGTTTTCATGGGATGGATTCCCTCATCCCAGGCTCCTCAGACCCCTCAAGCAGGCATGGAGGCAGTCTGGGGAGGAGGCAGGCATGGGGATGTCCAGGTGAGTGGTTTGATGGAACCCCAGCCCTCCATCCCTGATGCTGTTGAGTCAGGGATGGAATGAAAGACTCCAGTCTTCAGAAGGTGAATCAGAAAGCCAATCAATGAAAGGTAGCATGTCTTCTATGATGTGACTCGTTAAGGTGAGACTTGATTGGTCTCAAAGTGCAAACCTCTCACAGTATTGGTGAGCTATGAACAGCACACTCTGGAGAGCCATATCTACAAACAATGGTCACAGAAAGAGAGATAAGAATTGTTTGAATTCTTTTCTCTAAGTTTCCCACTGTCACTGTTATATTTTCTGGAAAAATCCCTTCCCAGGATTTTTCTCCTGGGAAGCTGAGAAGCCTCAGAAAAGGAAAACAATTCTTATCTCATTTGCTTCTCCTGTGTTTTGCTGCTTTGGAATGTGGTTGGAGATTGTTTACCAACAGGTGATTGTTTCATTGGTTTCTGCTGTGAATTATTTTGACTTATTGGCCAACTGGGGCCTAGCTGTGTTGAACTCTGGAGAAAGAGTCACAAGTTTCATTAGTATCCTCCAAGCCTTTCTGCATTCTTTAGTATGGTTTAGTTTAGTATTCTTTGATATAATATAGTATCATAAAATAATAAATTAGCCTTCTAAGAACATGGAGTCAGAGGTATCACTCCTCCCTCATCTGGGGAACCCAGCAAATACAAGATTCCACAGTGCCACTGTGATATTTTATGAAAATCCTTTCGCCAGGATTTTTTCTCCTGAGAAGCTGAGAAGCCTCAGAAAAGAAATGTAAACAATAACTATCTTCTGCCGTGGAAAGTGGCAGGTGCATCTTTGATTGCTCTCATGTGAATTGTTTTTACTTAATGACCAATGACAGCCAGCTATGTCGAAGCTTTGAGCAGTCACGAGTTTTTGTTATTCATTCTTCTTCAATCTTGTCTAAACTTCTGTCTGTATCTTCCTCTCTATTCTTTTAATATAGTTTTAGTATAGCATTTTTAATATCATATCATAACATAATAACTCAGCCTTCTGAAACACAGAATCTTCTTCTCTATTCTTTTAATATAGTTTTAGGTTGTCATTTTTAATATAATATCATATCATAACATAATAACTCAGCCTTCTGAAACACAGAGTCAAGATTCTCATCTCTCCCCTTGTCGGGGTTGCCTACAAATTCCACACCACAGCCTCTCACAGCTTCCCAGGGTTTTCCTGCAGAACCATGTCTGTCTGTGCTCAGAGATGTGACCACCACCCATCCCATCCCATCCCATCCCATCCCATCCCATCCCATCCCATCCCATCCCATCCCAGGAGAACCATGTGTCTCTGTGCTCAGAAGAGATGTGACCACCCATCCCTGCCCACCTTCAAAGGTGGCCAGGGAACATCATGTCTGTCTGTGTTCAGAGATGTGATCACCACCCATCCCATCCCATCCCATCCCATCCCATCCCATCCCATCCCATCTGTCAAAAATGGCCAGGGAACACCATGTCTGTCTGTGCTCAGAGGAGAAGTGATCACCACCCATCTCATCCCTGCCCACCTGTCAAAGATGCCCAGGGAACACCATGTGTCTCTGTGCTCAGAGAAGATGTGATCACCACCCATGCCATCCCACCCCACCCCATCCCACCCCATTCCATCCCACCTGTTGAAGATGGACAGGGAATACTATGTCACTCTGTGTTCAGAGATGTGACCACCACCCATCCCATTCCAGTATCCCATCCCACCCCATCCCATCCCATCCCTGCCCACCTCTCGAAGATGGCCAGGGAACACCATGTCTCTCTGTGTTCAGAGATGTGACCACCACCCATCCCATCCCATTATCCCATCCCATTATCCCATCATCCCATCATCCCACCCCACCTGTCGAAGATGGCCCCGACGCCGGCGCTGTGCGCGCTGTTCCGGTGCACGTGCAGCCCCGTGGCCAGCAGGATCCCGTCCTTCACGGCTATGGAGCGGTGGGAGAAGGAGGCAATTAGCAGCTCGTTCCACCCTGGGGAGGAGAAAAGCAGCGAGGCTGCAGGTTAGAGCTGTGGGATCCTCGGGAAGTTTGGGATTTGGTGACATCACCTCTCTGACAGGAGCCTTTGGTGCAGGAACGTGGCTGGATGTGGGAAAGGAGGGGGGAGCCAGCTTTTTCTTGGATGTCAGGGAAGGAAAAAACCATCAGGAACCCAAGGCACTAAAAATAAAGCTAATAAGGGGAGCAGTTTCCTCTATAAACCGTGCAGACACCGAGCAAACAGCTCTGCCTGAAGCTCCCCGTGGGTGTGGAGCCCTGAGCTCGCCTCTGCCCTCAGCCTCCCAGCAGTTCCAGCCCTATCAGCACTTGCTATCAGCTCATCAGGCTCCTCCTCAGGCCACAGAAGTTCATTCACCAGCCCTGAGCCTCGTAAAGGGGACCATGGAATCTCTGGCTTTATTTGTGGGTTTGCTGCTTCTGCCATGAAAATGATGGGAGGGATTGGGTCTGCTCTCTGCACAGCCCCACGTCTGTGACTGCTGCCACAGCTGCTTGGAAAACTGATTTTAGTCTTATCAGCTGGGCAGGCTGCTTTGGGATATGGGAAGGACATCCTCTGAGCCCAGACCTCCAGGGAAGGGAAGGGAGATGTGACCTCCACACCTTCCAGCTGCCCTTCCCAATCCAACACCTCTTCAATTCCTAAATCCATCACAGGCTGAGCTCAAGAACTCCTGAAACAAAGCCCCAGTGAGAGCAAATGCTGCCAAGCTTGAAGGGTGGAAATCTGGGTGACTTCCAGCCAGGAGCCGCATCTTCAGTTGAACAAGATGGGGTCTTCTGCAACACCCCCAGCCTCCATCCCATCCCATCCCATCCCATCCCATCCCATCCCATCTGTCAAAAATGGCCAGGGAACACCATGTCTGTCTGTGCTCAGAGGAGAAGTGATCACCACCCATCTCATCCCTGCCCACCTGTCAAAGATGCCCAGGGAACACCATGTGTCTCTGTGCTCAGAGAAGATGTGATCACCACCCATGCCATCCCACCCCACCCCATCCCATCCCATCCCTGCCCATCTCTTGAAGATGGCCAGGGAACACCATGTCTCTCTGTGTTCAGAGATGTGACCACCACCCATCCCATCCCATTATCCCATCCCATTATCCCATCATCCCATCATCCCACCCCACCTGTCGAAGATGGCCCCGACGCCGGCGCTGTGCGCGCTGTTCCGGTGCACGTGCAGCCCCGTGGCCAGCAGGATCCCGTCCTTCACGGCTATGGAGCGGTGGGAGAAGGAGGCAATTAGCAGCTCGTTCCACCCTGGGGAGGAGAAAAGCAGCGAGGCTGCAGGTTAGAGCTGTGGGATCCTCGGGAAGTTTGGGATTTGGTGACATCACCTCTCTGACAGGAGCCTTTGGTGCAGGAACGTGGCTGGATGTGGGAAAGGAGGGGGGAGCCAGCTTTTTCTTGGATGTCAGGGAAGGAAAAAACCATCAGGAACCCAAGGCACTAAAAATAAAGCTTATAAGGGGAGCAGTTTCCTCTATAAACCGTGCAGACACCGAGCAAACAGCTCTGCCTGAAGCTCCCCGTGGGTGTGGAGCCCTGAGCTCGCCTCTGCCCTCAGCCTCCCAGCAGTTCCAGCCCTATCAGCACTTGCTATCAGCTCATCAGGCTCCTCCTCAGGCCACAGAAGTTCATTCACCAGCCCTGAGCCTCGTAAAGGGGACCATGGAATCTCTGGCTTTATTTGTGGGTTTGCTGCTTCTGCCATGAAAATGATGGGAGGGATTGGGTCTGCTCTCTGCACAGCCCCACGTCTGTGACTGCTGCCACAGCTGCTTGGAAAACTGATTTTAGTCTTATCAGCTGGGCAGGCTGCTTTGGGATATGGGAAGGACATCCTCTGAGCCCAGACCTCCAGGGAAGGGAAGGGAGATGTGACCTCCACACCTTCCAGCTGCCCTTCCCAATCCAACACCTCTTCAATTCCTAAATCCATCACAGGCTGAGCTCAAGAACTCCTGAAACAAAGCCCCAGTGAGAGCAAATGCTGCCAAGCTTGAAGGGTGGAAATCTGGGTGACTTCCAGCCAGGAGCAGCATCTTCAGTTGGACAAGATGGGGTCTTCTGCAACAGCCCCAGCCTGAACATGTTCTGGAGTTCTGGTCCAGAAACCTCTGGATATTTGGATTTAGGGTTTTTTTCCCAGGCTGGAAAAACAACACAACAATATCCCTCACCTCTCCTGTCACAAGAACTCATCTCACAGCCTGGAACAAACACAAGGCCCATGTGTGCTGTATTTACCTTCTGCTGCAGCCGTGGGTTGTGCCACCAGAAATGTTGACAAGGAATAAAGTTCACTCTTTCCTAAGTGGCCACAGGATGTTTCCACCCCAGCACGGGAACATTTCTTTGGCTATTTACTGGGTGAGGCCTGGCACTTTCACAGGGATTGCAACACTGAAACCCGAGGAGGATGGAGGAGAAGGAGCCTGCAGAGCCCCATTCTCTGGAGGAAGAGGAACTCCCAGAGGCAGATCCACGGGAATTTGTCACACACACAGCCCCACAGCAGCTCCAAGCAACAGGAACCACAGCTGGCTCTCCACACCCACTCCAAACTGGGCTTATTCCAGTGAAGGAGGGCTGGATTCATCAGCATCCTTCCTCTGGATTATTCCCATGTAGAGCTGGGATGTTTCAGCTGAAATGGGTGAGATTTTCCCACCTTGGCTTTCCCAAAGAGCTGCCAAGACAGAGGCAAGCAGGGAAAATTCACCATAACCACAGGCAGCAAACTGGAATTAGAGAGCAGCCAAATCTCCCTTGGGAGTTCTGCGTTTCAGCCCAAGCTCTGGAGAGGCACAGCAGAATTCTGTGACTCCTGTGACTCCTGTCTCACCAACCAGGGTGGCTGCAGCCCCCAGGGGTGCTCTGGCTCCTCTGGGATGGGGAAGGCACTCTGGCAGAGCAGTGTCAATGCATTTCTCTGCCAAGCTTCCCCACCAGCCCTACAAACCCAGCTGCAGGGATGTAACACTCAGCACCCTCTGCCAGGCTGAGAAAACATCAGGTTATTCCTGTCTCAGCTTGGAAACAAGAAAACCAGTGGAAAACATGCTTAAAAAGTCAGGTTTCCTTCCCTTCCAAACAGCTCAGAGAGGGAGTATTTTTAAATGATTCAGGATCTGAGGAGAGCTGCTGCCAGCCCATCCAGCCCTGCTCCTCCCGAGCTGTGTGCTCCACTTGTTTTGCCTCCCAGGACGCCTGACTGAGGCTCTTAGCTGGATTTTAATGCTTCAATATTTCATGGGCAGCTGTTCTCAGCAGGCCACTCAATAATACATTGAGCACTGGTTGGAAGGCCTGGGCAAGGTCATCTGAGGCCCTGGCAGAGGTGTCTGGAGCAGGGAGCTCCAGGGAGCTGCTCAGCAGTCTCAGGGTTGGAGCCACCAGGAAATTTGGGATGTGAGGGGGCTGGCAGCCCCTCTCCTGCTGTGTGGAGTGGGTCACAAGCACAGAACACAGGTCAGGAGTTCTCCAGCTCCAGTTTTAACCAGCTGCCTGCTAAAGAGAGAGGAAAACCTGGAACTGCCATGGTGGGGTTGGGTTCCACTTCCCAAAAGGAAAAGGCAGAGCTTGGTCTGAATCCAGCTCTTTGCAGAAAGCCCTCAAGGATCCCTTTAGAGAGGCTTCCCTGCTCATCCCCTCTCACAAGAGGCTCTAGAAATCCCCCTAAAATCCACACTTTGGATGTTCCAAAGGGCCCAGAGCCAGCTCTGGCAAAATCCATGGAGCACCTTCACCCAGAGGCTGCAGGAGCCAGCCTGGAAGGGTGCAGCACCTGGACAGAAGTGAATTTGGGGGAAATAAAATGAACTTTCAAAGTACCAAGGACATCAACGTCCCTGGCTTACAAAGATCTTCATGCCTCAAACACATCCTCCCTGAGCTCTGCTCCTGCTTTCTTGCCCTCCACGAGCTTTGTGCAGCAGCAGGAGCTTGAGTTCACTCAACAGGGGAAGACCCTTCCCACAACCAACTGCTTCCACCTCCCAAATCCTGCTCCTGCAGCCCCCCTGCTGCACAAGGAAATTTAAAATAAGCCCTGAGAGTTCTATTTTCATCTTGGTGGGTGGGAGAAGAAGTGAGATGTACTTTCCTCTCCTCTCTGGTTTTAATTATGATCAAACATTTCAGTTTGATGAAATTTCATGGGGGCCTGAGCCCACTTGGTTTTTCAAGGCTCAGTTTGGGAGGAAGGCAGAGTTTAACTCCTTTGGTTTAAGTCAGCCAGCACCCATCTCTGAGCTCCTCACGGATCAGAGATGAAGCTGGGCCATTTTTCAGCTGATTGGCCACATTTTGGATCCAATTCACCAACACATCCCATGCAAAGCTTTCAAAATCCTATTTAAAAACTGAACTGTCAGAGCCTGTCAAGAATCAATTAAAGATTTTCAAGCTGCCAGGACCTAAACCTGAGGGTACAGCCCATCCCAGGGGACACTGAGCAGTGCCCACATGGGGACAGATGTCACTCACCTGCTCTGAGCAAGATGACCTGGTCATCCAGGGGCAGCTCAGAGAAATGGGGGATCCTCTTGGCCCACTCCACCAGGGTGAAGAGCTGTTTGTCTGCTGCCTGGCAGATGTTTGTCACCGGGTCATTGGGCTGCCAAAAAACCAAAATAAAGGCATTAAAAAAGAGATGGAAAAGCTTGGAAAAGGCAGAGTGAGGAAAAGAGAGGCTGGAGGAGCAGCCTGCCTGCCATCCCTGAGGTGGGTGTTATCACTCACAGGCAAAGCAAGTGATTTGGCTGCTCCACCACGAGGGCTGTAATTGTTTTTAGCAAGCCCCAACATGGGAATTGGGAGTGCTGAGACTCCATATCCATCACCCTGACTGATGAATCCAGGCAGCTCGAGCCTGGGGAAGGGCACACTCCAGCCTCTCCCAGCTCGATAAACCAGCACCAGAGGGGGCATTACAGAAAAATAACAAAAAAAAAGAGAAAACCCCTTTCCTTTGAAATATTATCCAGTAACAGAAACCATCTGCTCTCAAGGAGGACAGTCAGCCTAAACACACCAAATCCCTGTTTAAAGGAACTGCTCAAAGCTCAAGTGGATTTGTGATTAGGAACTGGAAGAGCCAGTTTAACCCTGGGGAAGGCTGAGCTGGCTGATCCAAGCGAGTCTGTAGGGTTTACCTCTCTGGACAGGGATGTATGAGCCCTTCCCACCTCCCTCTGTAATCCCAGCTGATATCCAGCAGCTTGCATTGTACAATTAGCTTCTCTCCATGTCCTTAAAAGAGCAGTTTCCAAACTGGAGGAGAAGTGTTTACTTCACCCCCCCGCTTGCAGGGGGAAGGGGTGTAAATCCAGAGGAAGAGCAGACAGGAATGCCAGCGTGACCTGTGGCACAGCCCCCTCCCCGAGGGGGCTCCCTCAGAGCCCTGGCAGCAAACCCCAAAGCTCTGATGCCTCCGTGGCCAACATCTCCCACTCTCCAGGCTTAAAATAGCCGGGGTTTGGCAGGCTCAGGGCACCTGCCCTGGGAGCATTCCCACCTGTCGCGTGCAGAGATGGATGGGCACAGGCTGGCACCGCGCAGGGATGTGCCCCCCTGTGCCACCCCCTTCTGCAGCTCCCCCAGGGGGGCAAGGGCAGGGCAGTCTCGCCCCCAGGGAGCTGGGGCTCTTCCCTGAGGGAGGAGAGGTGAGCAGGGACTGGGCTTTTCCCAGGAGAGGGAGATCAGATGGGATTTCTCCTGGAGAAGGGGAAAACTCAGGAGTGCGTGTGAGGAGGAGCTTTGCAGGGTTCAGGGTTCCACTGGAAGCACTGGGAATGTTGATATTCACAGGCAGGAAGGGGGAGAAGGGCCACCAGACATCCTGAACATCCCTGACCTCAAGTTTGATGCCAGTTTGCTCAGCCAGGTGGAGAATCCTGGCACCCAGGTGAGGCGGGATGGGGATCACAACATGCTCCAGCAGAACCCAGTCCTTGCAGCAACAAGGGCCTGCAGAGCCCCACAAAAGGGGTAATTTAGGTAAATCAGATGTTTTTGCCAAAGCTTTCATCAGGGCTGGCTGCTGGGCAGCGGCTCCAGGTGCCCCAGGCCTGGCTGTCCCTCCCTGGGCAGCACAAGCTGTCCCCAAGCTCTGGTGCTCCAAAGCCTCATCCTCGGCTTCAGTTCCACCTCAGATGGCAATTCCTGGAACCACCACGGCTCTTCCCGGCAGAACCTGATCACTGGAGCGTGAGAAGCAGCTAAAAGTGTCCAGAGGGCCCTGCCTGGCTCCAGGAGGGGAAGGGCAGTGCTGGAAAGCCTCCCTGTGCAGGGAAAGCAAATCCCCTCCTGCAGTAAATAGCAAGGGCTCGGTGCCGGGGTGTGACAGAGCCAAAGGGCACCTGATCCTCCTGGAAAAATGCAACTGACCCTCCTGGAAAACTGCAGCTGACCCTCCTGGAAAACTGCAGCTGACCCTCCTGGAAAACTGCAGCTGACCCTCCTCGAAAACTGCAATTGGAGGCATCTTCACAAAACGGGGACTTGAAACCAGACGTTTGGGGACTTGAAACCAGACAGTGGGGAGGACAGCTCTCAATTACAGACTTTGCCTCCTAGCCAGGAGCCTGTCCCAGGCCGTGCTTGCAGGGCAGGAGCCCAAATTGCCAAGGCATGGGGCAGAGGCAAAGCCACCCCTGGGACAGGGACATGGCACGAGGTGACAGCCACAGCCACGAGAGCTTGGAGCGACAGGACAAGGGGGAATGGATTTGAGCTACAAGAGGGTGGGGTTAGAGCAGATATTGGGGGAAAATTCTTCCCTGGGAGGGTGGGGAGGCCCTGGGGAAGCTGTGGCTGCTCCATCCCTGGAAGAGCTCAAGGCCAGGCTGGATGGAGCTTGGAGCAACCTGGGATAGTGGGAAGTGCCTTTAAGATGATTTTAAGGTCCCTTCTAAGCCATTCTATGTGGCTGCCAATCCCTAAATCACCCTGCCACCCCCATCCCAGCCTGGAAATGTCCCTGCAGGTCACCAGCCCGAGTGCAGAGGCACAAATCAAAGCACCCAACACACGAGGCACACAGCAAGCAGCTCGGTGTTCTCCCTGTGTTTATCAGGGCCTCGATTTGTCTGCCTTTCCATCACCTGGGCTCTGGGGAAAGGCAGCAGCTCCTCTGTCTTCCCTCTCCTCATCCCGTGGTGGCCTCGTCACCGGGAGCTGCTGATCTCATCCATCTGCTAAACCTGCTACAAATGTCACCTCGTGCTTGACAATAACGGGGCATTTCAACAAGCCTCCTGCTTCTATTTAGATGCAACACACATCCTTGTTCACAGTAATGCCTGTTGAATTATGCAGGAACCGGCTTTCAATTTGAGGAGACTCGGTGCCAGACGAAGCCATTTATTTCAGCTCCCTCTCTGGGGTTTGTTTTCAAGTCAGCACCAGGCTGGCTCCAGCTCCCCTGAAGGATTTTTGATCCTGTGGGCAGTCAGAGCCTCTCTGAGCCCCTCACTAACTCCTCCAAAAAAAGCTTTTTACAGCCTCGTGGGGATGGGATCCTCCTCCAAAATGCAGGTGAGGGTTTGTACCTGATCCTGTACCTGATCCTGGAGACTTTCACTGAGGGATTGGTTCTGTCCCTACCACAAAGCCTTGGATATCCAAGAGCCACCTAAGGAATGCTAGGAAAAGCTGTCTTTGCAAAAAGAGCATCCCAAAAAGCCAATTAAAGTTGTCTTGACTCCCAGACCCCTCACAGAATTCTGCTGGAAGGGACTCTAAAGATGCTCTATTTCCAACTCCTTGCCATAGGAAGGGATTTCTGACTCAAACCCTCCAAGCCTCATATAAAGAGAGAGATAAAAGCATTGTTGTAACAGAAAATAAACACTGCAGAGCCCTTGCACTTGCTGAGAATAGCTGCATTTCATCAGCTCAGCCTCACAGCCACTCAGCAGGAACTGCACAGGGGTATTCCAGTGCATGAGCCTGCTCTCTTGGCTCAGCCAGCCCAACTGCTGGCAGAGTTCAACCTCTGAGTCCCTCAAAGGACTCAGAGGCTACCAGGAGATGCTCCCCACTGCAGCCTCAGTTGCTGTTTTTCACAGGAATTCCTCTATTCCCACTGCTTTTCCAGGAAAAGGGGCTATGGAGGAGTGGGGACTGTCCCTACCACTGCCTGGGCTGCAGAGGGTCTGTCCTGGAAATGGAATTTCAGAGGAGGCTTTGGCTCTCTCAGTAGGAGGCTGCTGCTTTGCAGGGAGATTTCTCCCTTTTGATAAGGGAATTTCATAGGAAAGGACCCAAAACACTTCCCCTCACTCTCCATAGAATCCCAGACTGGTTTGGCTTGGAAGGGACCTCAAGAACATCTCATCCCACCCCCTGCCTTCCACCAACATTCCACCAGCCCAGGCTGCTCCTGTCCCATTTCCTCTCATCCCTCTCTTGGGCACACAACAGCTGGTACAGCCCAGATGCTCCCAGCAGGCCCAGTTATAATGCAGGTTTCTAACTGGGAAAAGAACTTGAAAGCCAATTCCTAGGCAAATTTCTCCAGGTTTTCCCCTCTCAGAGCCAAGCAGCTGAATAATTCTGCACCTGAGGAGTCACACCCTCATTCTCCAGCTCTTATCTCTCTGCACTACAGTCACACAGGTTTATTGCCTCAATTGGACTCTGAGCTCTTCAGAGCAGAGTGCCTTCCTGCCTTTCAGCACTTGAGAGCTGTTCTTTACAATAAAACCTTCTCTTCAAATCACTCCTTAGAGCACCTCTCACTCCCCTGTGGCTGTGGGACAGAAGACACCAAACGCTGGTGGCTGCTGGCTCTGCTCTCCAGGGGCTGAGCTGGCTCACAGCAGAGCCAAGAATTGCTTTCTTTTTCCCCACAGAGGACAATCCCTGTGTGCCACAGCTGTCTCTGATGGCCCAGAGAGGGGCTGGGCAGAGGTGCTCACCGAGCTGGGGGTCAGGCCCATGTTTGCCTCGATGTAGGTCTCTGTCTTTGGCTCCACGGCGAGCTCGGCCTCCAGGATCTTCTCCACGGGCATGTCCTCGTTGGCGCTGCTCGTGGACTCCACCTCGTTCTCGTTGCGGTCCTTGCCCCGCTGCCTCTCCTCCTGCACGGCTGAGGGACACAGAGGGACAGTGCCAGTGTCAGACTGTGACAGGAGGATCACACAATCACAGCGCTAGGAGAGACCTTCAAGGTCATCGAGTCCAACCCAGCCCCAACACCCCAACTCAATCCTGGCACCCAGTGCCACATCCAGGCTTTGTTAAACACATCCAGGGATGGAGACTCCACCACAGAATCTCAGAATCTTGACGTAGGAAGAGACCTCCAAGATCATTGAGTCAAACCCAGCCCCAACACCTCAACCAGAATAGCACCAAGTGCCACGTCCAGCCTTTTTTTAAACACATCCAGAGATGGTGATTCCACCACCTCCTTGGGAACAGCATTCCAGTGCTTTATCATTCTTTTGGTGAAATTTTTTTCCCTAATATCCAGCCTATACCTTCCCTGACATAGCTGAGACTGTGTCCTCTGGTTCTGTCGGTGCTGCCCGGTGGAAGAGACCAACCCCACCTGTGTACAACCTCCCTTCAGGAAGCTGTAGAGAGCAAAAAAAACCACCTCCCCAGGCACACAATTCCAGAACTTCATCACTCTTTGTTGAAAAACTTTTTCCTGATATTCAACTTGTATTTCCCTTGGTGCAGCTTGAGACTGTGTCCTCTGGTTCTGTCAGAGTAACTTGATTGTCACCACTGAGTCAGGAGGGGACAAGTGACACAGAGGCTAGAAACTCCCAGTTTATTGGAACCCCTTATTTTATACACTGGTCCCATACAGGTGAACCTGACTGGTCATTTAATCAACACATTTCACACGATTGCTTAATTAAGAAGACATCCTTTGGTAAACATCTTATGAGGAAAACAACTTGTTACAAACACCACCTGCAGATTGTTCACCATTCTTCCTCTGCCTCCCTAAAACTTCCCAGAGCAATTCATGGGAAAGCTTATCTGGCTTTCTCTCTCTCTGAGCAGACTGTCATCTCCACAATGTGATGGCTGACTCTCACAATTAAAAAGTAAATATTATGCACATATGTTAAGAGAAATTTTATAGATTTATAGTTACGTTTTACCCCCTTGTGTTGTTATCAGGGGGTGGCCTGGGTTTGGGACATTGGGAGAGTTGGGTTATTACTGTGGCAACAGCTGACCTCCAAAAAAGATTTAAGGAATTCAACTCCACTACTGGACAGTGAAGAAGGAGTCAATGGACAGAATTTTGGAGGAGCTAAAGGGTTAAAATGCAAAACCCCCATTGTGTGGATGAGCACATGGTGGGAAAAATCCTCTGCTCCCGGTGCTGTAATATTTTATCTATTCAGTCATCTGTTGTATTTTTTGATAAACCTTTTAAATTTTTGGAAATTGAGTAGCACTTCTCACAGAGTCACCCCCAGGCCCTGCAGGTGGCCATGAAACCCCAAAGCATCCTGCAGGATCACCCCCCTCTCTGATGTCTGTTCCCAGTGCGGCCAGAGTGGGATATCCCAGGGAATGTGAGGTTTGGGGAAGGCAGGGAGCAGCCCCAGCCTGGGAAATCAGCTCTGTGTCAGGGATGATCCTGCTTGGACAGGGAAAGCCCCTTCTCTGCAGAGGGAGAGGTCCTGGAATTAAAAAGGTCAAAGACAAATGATGGAAAGCACCACAAAGGAAGCCACACTTTGAGTTACTTCGAGAGAGGGAAAGGGGTGGGTGAAGGGACAGAATCAGGGAATCCTAAAGAAAAGTCAGGTCAGTTTAAAGCAGAAATCCCAAATCCAGCCACCTCTGAGGCTGGCAGTGCTGAATTTCCCTGGAGGCCATGCCTTGCCCCTCTGCAGCTCCCATGGGACAGGAGCTCCATGCAAACCTCCATCCTGCCTTTGGCTCCAGACAGACAGGAGAGACCTGTCCCGAATCCTGTGGGGTGGGAATGATCTTGCCAGCAGCCTGTCACATGCTGATGAATTACATCTGAGCAGCTCAGAGATGAGAAACACTTACTAGATGCTAATAACATCATTATTATTATTATTAATGACCTCTCTTGGAAACCTGCACAGGCTTTTCCTACACCTGGAAGGCAGCTTTGTGCAGCTGCAGTGGGAACTCTCTCCTTCTCCATCACCTTCTCACAGACCCTAAATCCCACACACCACTGTTCCCCACAGCACATGTGAGCCCACTCTGCTTGGGAACAGCCCCAGCATCTCTGCCATGAAACACAACTCTCTGAACTCACCCAGCTCTTTGCTGAGGCACTCCAGTAACGTCAAAACCCTGCTATTTATTGACAATTACCCCAGCACTCCCTCCCTGCTGCAGCTGAAGCAGGTTATGGGATGTTCAGGCAGAGCAGCAGGGGCACAGGAGTTGTTTGGGGGAAACACAACGAGGCTTTTCAGACCATCAGTGGGACCAGCTCTAGGCCAAGTGCAAAACCAAACCCTGCAATATGAAACTCCAGGAAAATTAAAATAAAATAAAATAAAATAAAATAAAATAAAATAAAATAAAATAAAATAAAATAAAATAAAATAAAATAAAATAAAATCCCCAGGAAATTGCAACACAGGCTAAAGGAGCCCTCTCTGCCTGTTGATGCCATTAACCCAGCTCCTGGGGCCGATTCCCAGTGCTCCCCCTCCTTCCCTCAGCGTTGCTGTTTGCTGCATGTCAACAGAGCTCAGGCTCTGCCATGTGAAAGCTGTTATGCAAAAAGGCAAGAGGTTCCTCTCTGCAAACTTCTCTGGGCTGCAGAGGCTCCCCAGGCCCACCAATGTTTTCTGCTGGGCTGCCAGAGCCAGGTAAACTCAGATTTGTGTCGTGGCTTTTGTCCATCTGGAACGGATTGTTCTTCTTTTTCAAGCCATCATAAAACCCTGCTTTAATTTCTCCCCTCCAACCCTACTCCTGCTTCTCCAAGCATCAGAAGAGGGAAGTTTTTGCTTAATGCCAAGCCTCCTTCAGCAGCACAGATGCACCGAGATTCCTCTGGGCACATTAGAGGAGATGAAACACCTACTAAATAACACGAAAGCCTGAGAGAAAGACAAACCCTCCACAAATGGGATCCTATAAAAAGACTTAAATGCCAAAGTGCTGATGGAGATTTGCAGCAGCTCTCAAGGATGAAGGTGCAAAGTTGGGATCACTGGGGTCGCTCCAGCATGGTGTTAACCCCAAAAACACATCCTCGTGCTGGACATGGGATTTGTGGCAAAACATTGCACAGGGCTGGGCAGACAGGGGCTGCTTAAAGGCTTCAATCTGCAGATCTCAACCTCATCAGCGCCACGTTCCTGGCCTGAGGAGTCAGACAAAATTCAGGGCTTGTGGGAGAGGATCTTACAGGGCACCTCGACTGAGACCAGGCTGAACCCAGCTGATACAAACAATAGAGACAGATGGGCAGAGATCAGACACCTAAGGAGTTCTTTCATTGATCCGAGCTCGGAGCTGCTGCACAGAAAATCAGTGCTGCAGCTCCTGCAGAGCTGGTCAGGGGACAGCTGACTCATCCCAGCTCAGCCCCACGCACAGCCCGCACTGCAGCAGTGACACCCCGGGCACAGCAGATGGCACAGGCCCACCCAGCAGCCAAGATAAACCCAGCCCTGAGCAGGGAGTGTCATCAGCTCTGCCACACCCTGCTGCCGAGCCCAGGCAGCCTCCTCCAACGGCAGGACAAGTGTGGAATCACTTTGCCATCACCCCTGTCCATCCATCCATCCATCATCCATCCATCCATCCATCCATCCATCCATCCATCATCCATCCATCATCCATCCATCCATCATCCATCCATCCATCCATCCATCCATCCATCCATCCATCCATCCATCCACAGGCACAAGCCCAGTGGAAAATGTCCAGATTTTCTGCCACCAGCATTTCCCTGAGAAGCTGTTGCTCCTTCTTAGGAGAGGAGCTGAGGGACACACCACCATCCCAGGAGAAAATGGGGACTGTGTTCCTTGAGATGTAGGAAAAAAACTACACACAGGAGAGAGGGAAAGAAAGAAGGACAAGTGGTTTTTTACCCAGGAAATCTGGGAAAATCTCCAGCAGTGAGCAGATCCCTCACCATGCAGACCTAGGACCTCATCCCTGGAGTCCATCCCCACTCTGCTGGGGATTAGTCAAACAAACCACAGTGGAGATGACAAAAACACATTTTTCAAATGGATCTGGTCTGGGAACTGCGTTTCTTTGTGGGTTTGGTTTTTATTTATGTTTTTAAGAAGAGAAACACCAAGGTGGAGCTGCATGGCAGCTTGTCTGGTGACACCAAAACGGGAATAACCTTGATCTTCTCAGCTTCCCAACAACGCTGCTTTTCCTGGTCCTGAGGGTGGCAGAGCTCTGGATGAACAGAGTGGGTCTATCCACCTCAAACACAGGAGCTGAGGAAGGAATTTGGGGCTTGCTGCATCCCAGAAAAGCCCCTCGTGCAAGGCAGAGCTCTCCCAAGCTGTGGCCACCCCGTGTCTCCAGAGCTGATCTCCCCAGCCCTCTCCCCTCTGCTGATGGCTGTGCCAATGATTTCATTTCTCTTCAAGGAGCCTCAGATGGCTGAGAGCTTTCCCAGGCTGGTTTTGTAAACATAAGGGAATCATTTCAACCTTGCAATCCACTTGAGGAGAAAAAAAGATGCAGTCAGGGAGCTCGGAGAGGCAGCCCCACCTCCTCCAGCTATGTCTGAGCCCAGCCAAGGACAGAAGCCTGTGTTTTCCATGGCACCTGATGAAGAGCCTCTCCTGTTATTCTGCCTGATTTGGTCTGTACTTGCCTCAGGCCAGCTGCTGTCATGTTTCATCTTGAGCTTCTCCAGCCCATCTGCACTTCCCCAGGTCGTGGTACAGCAAGACAAGGAGCCCCATGTGTCCAAGCCACTCCTTGGTGACCTCTGGTGTCTTTAAAATCCAAAATGTCTCGTCCTGTGGACTGCAGATGAGCCTCAGCCATCCAAGCCCGAGGGCTGCTGTGCCAAAATGCCAGATCCATCCTCTGCAGGTGCCCACAGCACACTGGACACCTTGGCTTTGCTCATGGGGCAGCATCTGATGGCTAAAAAAGCAGCTTTGAGTCCATTGCAAAGTGCCACCCAACCCAGATCTGGTGCCCAAAGCAGCCCCTGTGGGTGGCCACGCTCCTGTGCTCCTGGGCACTGCACAAAGGAATGTCAGAGGAGGCAGGGAGAGGATTTTCCAATGGTGTTTCTGAGAGGGCAGGAGCAGCACAGATTTGTTTTTTAGCACTGGAGGCTAGTCCAGTGACACTCACCCAGTGTCAACACAGCTTTTTGGGATGGAAATCCACCCCTCCTGGAGCAACAGGGTGGGGGTTGCTCTTTCCATGGGGAAAGAATAATTCACTGCCCCAAAAATGGGATTTTCTCAGGGAAAACAGCTCTCTGTGAACGGAGAGCACAGGGGGAAGGCACCAAAGCTCAGCCCAGAGAGCCCCAAACCTGCTCAGTTTTAGTTTTCCCCATCCTGCAGGTGGGTGCCGGGTTATTTATGAGGTGCTGGGTGGGGGTGATTGGGCATTTTCGTGTCTCTCACTGGAATTTATTGGGCTCTGCTGCCTTTCATGAAGCCACATCTTTGCTGTGTATCATCAGCATCTTGAAGCATTTATGCCCCAGGTACCTGTTTATATCCAAAATGCCAAGACAGCTGAGAAAACAAATTCAGACAGTGTTTCTTCTGCTTTGCTTTCGTGTGTCACCTTTTTTTTTTTCTTTTTCAGAGGTGCAGCTTTCTGCTACTGTAAACAACCTCAAAAGCTGCGACACATGAAATAAATGGGGTTTTTTAGCTCCAACATTTTCAACTGAACGCTGTAATTTTTTTTAAGGGATGCAAAATACCACCGTGATAATTAAAAAGTGTAACTTCAGAGTGTTAAAAAGTGGATTGAAACCTTTGCATGCAGTTAGTTCACAAGAGGAACAGCTCTGGAAAACAACAGCAAAAAATCTCTAGCTCGCTTCACTCTCTGGACACTGAAGTATAAACAAACAGCAAAAAAAGGAGAGAAAACCATAAGCCAAACTCGTTTTTTCAACCTAAGAGCATCCTTAAAAACAAAAAAACCCCAAACCCAGCCTCATTTAACCAGCTGGTTTAAAGAGCAGCACTTTAAAAGGATATAAGAAACAAGCTCATTAAGCTGGAAGACATTTTCCATTCCAAAATTACTCCTAAAAATAACTGTGCTCTTGAACTCTGCCCCTTCACTAGGCTGTGGCCACTTGCCTGCTTTCACATTCACTTGGAGAGTGGGTTGGAAACCTGAATTCCTGCTCTTTGTCCCCAGATTCCTCGTGCTGCTGAGGGATGGTCCAGGAGCTGGGATGGCCCAAACTCCAGGGGGATGCACAGCCATGGCAGGGGATCAGGCACAAATCCATGTGGGAATCTTCAGTCCCTCTGGGCTAAGTGACTGAGGGAAGGTCTCCAGGCTGGGGAGATGCTGCAAATCCAACCTTTCCCAGGCTGAACCCCTCAGCTTGGCAAGTGAGAGGGGGGAAAAACCAACCCACAAACACAGGAAGGGAGAGAATTAACTCAGGCTGTGAAGTTTAATGAAGCCCTGAAGCCAGAGAGCAGGCGTGCAGCTGGACAGATGTCCTGGATGCTCCGAGCCCAGCTCTGGATCTCAGCAGCTGCACCTGCACCTGGATTTAGGAACAACTTTGGGCTCAGCCACGCAGCCCGAGCTGCAGGTGCTGCAGGGGAAGAGCTCTCTGCTCTCCAGATGGGCTCTGAGATGCCCCAACAGCCGCTTTTCACCCGTCTGGCACCGAAGCCCAGCCTGCAGCCGGCACGTGGGAGCCCAGCAGGTCCTGCAGCCCGGCCTGGCTCCCCCAGGAGCCCCTCACGTCCGGGGGAAGGCGCTGGGAGCCGGTTCCCACCCCTGCTCCCTGCGAGCAGCCACGGGAGCATGGGAAAGGCTCCTCGCTGGTATTTCCTGCTCCCTGTGCGATCCCGAGCGCTGCCAGCACTCCTCACCCGGGACAGCCCCGGCTCACCAGGCCCCCGCCGACCCTGTCACCTCTCTGTCACCTCCCTGTCACCTCTCTGTCACCCCCTGCCACACAGGACCCCCCCATTCCAAGCCCCCCCGGTGTTTACTCTTCACAAGAGCACTCCCTCCCTGATTCCGAGGCGATTCCCAATTTTTCCCTCTGAAACCCGAGGCTGCTGATGCACAGACACCTCAGACCCTGATGAGGAACAGATTGAGCAGGGAGAGTTCAGCTCCTGGATGCAAACAGCCACCCCCACAATAATAATCCCTGCATTAGTCAAGATGCCTGATGGTAATCTTAATTTTGTTGACTATCCGGTATTTAGTGGGAGACAGAGTACAAAAAACCAAAGCCTTACACAGCTGGCAGAAATTCATAGGGGAAAAAAAAATGTTCCCAGTTGCTTATTTATTATGGCTGCAGTATCTCAGAGAGCATGGGGCTCATTCACTGTGAAGGCTGGGATCCCTCTGACGTGTTCCTAGCAGGGAACAGCCAGAAGGGATGCACACAGCAGGAGGAATCCTCTGCCCCTGCAGGCTTTCCTCCTCTTTAAGCCAAGGTTTGTAGCCCTGGAGGATCCCTGTCCCCCAGCAGGGACACCCTGGGTATGCTGCTGCTTCTGATGGGCACAGGGCTCATCCCTCTGGGTTTGCTCTTGGTATGTTCACCTGGAGACCCTCAGCTGCTGGGATCAAACCTCCAGCAGGTTGATTTTGCTTCTCTAATCCAAATTCTCACCCAATAACCCCTTTCCTTTCACCCTCTTTAAATGGAGTACAACCTTGGCTCTCTCCTCCTCCCAGCATCACCCAGCATTGCCCCCCAGCCCAGCCCTGCCTCTCACTCAGCCCCAGCACTGATTTTAGACACTTTTACTGTGCTTGCACCAAACCCCAGCACCTCTGGGCTACAGGAGAGACACTTCCCAGCAGGAATCTGTGGTGCCTTTACACAGCTATAAACTAGGTCTCCAGAACAAGATGTTTTTTAGGGAAATGAGGCCCATAACCCTGGCTCTGTTCCTTAAAAGATACAAGGGTTTATGCTAGAGGATAAAAAGCCAGCTACGTTGTGAGTACTCAGGCAATGCAAGATTTAGCCCAAAACTCTTCCCCAAAATAGAGGTGGGAGCAGGAGAGGTGTAAGGACAATTCCAGTCAGCTGGGATGTGTGCAATGGGAAGAGACCTTTATTTGACAAATCTGGTGGATATCACATGGGAAACTCCAGGGCTGCTCAAAACCAGAGCCCAAGCAAGATCCAACTTCTGACTTTCAGCTTTAGGACAACTGAGACATTTCTGAGAGACACTGGATTTTTAGGTTTATAACAAGAGACAGGGGAGTTATTCCAGCTTTCCCTGCGTGGGGATTATGCTTAAATCATCTGATGATTGCTGTCAAATCACCAGTTCCTGCCCTTCCCCATCCAGATCCATCAGCACTGCCTGAGCGCACTCCTGGAGTTACCAAGATCCCATCTGTCACACTTTTAAATAATTGTCTGATCATTATGAATTCATTTGCTATTCATTGTGATAATGTTAATCAAGATGAATTAATAGAGTCCTCACACTGTACGTGCTCCCTGGGGACTTCCACCACCATTTAGAAATTAATTAATGGACCTGTAATTTTTAGCGGCGCTGCCCATGCAATCACCACCAAGGGCAGGCAGGGAGCAGGTTCCTGCTCACAGGGAGGCAGAGTTCCAGCATTCCTGATGCCCTTCCCAGCCCTGCACACCTTGTTCTGGGGGGCTGAAAGGTAGCTGGGAAAGTGGAAGGCTCTGGATGCAGTGCCAGGGGAAGGGGATGCTCTGTATTTATCTTGTTGAACACACAGGAGAATTCTTGGCTTCTTTTTGATCATCTGAGTGTCCCATGGCTCAGGTTTTGGATCAGATTTTCCTCATCCTGCTGCACATCTCCTGTGGGATCCAGTATTGCCCAGTGCTCTGCACCAAGGGCAATGCCACCCCCACTCCTGCACTGCCCTGAACGCCTCAATCTCTCCATTCCACGGTCTGCTGGGGAAGGAACATTTGTTCTGAGCACCCAAGGGTTAACTCAGCAGGGCCAAGGAGGAGACCTGGCAATCCCCTCACACCTCCAGCACAGACAGCTGTGACACTTGGTGACTTTGGTGCTGGGGTAACCCCATAAACTGAGCGTGGCAGGGTTTGCCCAACACTCAGAGCAGCTCCAGCAGTGCCCCGTTTATTCAAGGCTCCAGACAGGCCTAAGTGCTCTTCAAAGGCTCCCAGGCTGGAGCTGTGGGCCAGGGCCAGAGCAGGGCTGCCTTTATCAGCCTGTCAGGGAGGCAAGTGTGGCTCTGAAGATGTAAGGGGAGAAAGCAGCACAGAACTGGGGTCACTCTCACGTCATGTCTGCTAAAAGCCTGTTCCGCCAGCTCGATCAGAACAGACGCAGTCAGCATTTAAAAAGATCATTTAAAAGAGGCACTGCCGGCGAAGTTTAGATCCTAAATTTAAATTCCACTAAGGAAGAGCTATCTTAAAGAGACCAAACTGCTTTCTTCTTCCCAATGAGAAGAAAAATGCAGCACTGAGTTAGGTACTGAGGCGCTGGCACAGGATGCCCAGAGAAGCTGAAACCTGAAAGTGTCCAAGGCCAGGCTGGAGTGGAAAATGCCCCTACCCATCACCTACACACTGCTGTGGCACTCAGTTATGCTCCACAGGGAGTGACACCATGAACAGAGACTGGAGACCATGAGATGCTCTGGCTGAGGCGCAAAACCAAACCACAACCAAAATCTTTGTCACCGGAGTAACAACACCCCTCGGCAACATCAACACCGCCTCTGGGTGCCCTCCAAGCTCCCTGCAGCCCCCTGGCCAGGCCTGGCCTTACCTTCTCTCTTCATGCCCATGGCCAGACACTTCTGGTAGCGGCAGTACTGGCAGCGGTTGCGCTGGCGCTTGTCGATCAGGCAGTCCTTGTTGTCCCGGCACGTGTAGGTCAGGTCCTTCCGCACCGTGCGCTTGAAGAAGCCTTTGCAGCCCTCACAGCTGTAAACCCCGTAATGTTTACCTGGGGGAGGGATAAAATTCAGGTTTAAAGGCGGCTCCAGATCCTTTCTTTGACAGCAGATCTTCCCAGGGTCTCCGCCTGCTGAGTTTTGGGGGGAGCAGAGGATTCTTGGCATCCACAGAATCAGGATGCCATGCATGGGTCACATCCTGCCTTCCATCCAGGGAAAGGCCATTTCTGGGCCATACAGCAGGGGTAGGGCAGTGCAGCAGTGGACAGGGTGTCCCCCTGTACCTGTGAGCTCTCTGAACCCCCCACAGCAGACACACAACTGTGTTCCCCCCCTCCACTGGGTTCCCACCCTCCACTTCCAGCCTGCATCACAGGAGGGGTCCCCAAGGGCTCACAAAGCAGGCATCCAGAGCTCTTCTGGAGCAGGGAGCTTTTAGAAGAGCAGCAGAATAAAGGGAATGAGCCCATCTTTATCTCCCAGGAGGGGAGAAACTCCATGTCAAGAGCAGCTTTTCATGTGGCACCGTGTGACAGCACCAGTGTGGATCAAAGATGGGCAGAGGGAGGACACCCCCTGATGCCTCGTGTGCCAGCAGGGTGAGGATGGGACCCCACTGCAGAACAGGGACCTGGGGTCTCCTGGCTCTGCTCTCCATCCCCTGCTGTGAGGCACAGGCAGGTCCTGTCCCAAAGGAGAGCTCCTGCTGGCACTCCCCAGCTCTCTGCCACACCCCCAGCCCGCTGCCCTGAGCCCTGCCAGGGCAGGGGCCAGCCTCACCCGAAGATCTGTCCCCACAGATGGCACATATGTGCTTGGTGAAGGAGGCCATCGTTCCTGAGGGATGTGCTGGCACTTTGAGGACTCCATTGAGCCCCAGGGGTGGCTTGATGTCTTCTGTGCTGGTGACGGAGTTCATGGGCGAGTTGAGCTGTGGAGGGACAAGCACAGGGCTCAGCTGGGGCTGGGGACAGGGGGACATGGGGCTGTGCCACACACAGGACAGGACAAGCAGGGGACACGCTTCCAGCTGCTGAACCAAGAGGATTTGGGCACACAAAGGCACAGCACTCACAGGGCTGGCACAGGAGCTGGGGTGGCTCTGAGCTGGCAGCAGGGTGACACGAGGGGCAGGACATGGCCAGCCTCCCAAGCACCCTGCCCATCCAAGGAGGATGTTTTTCCATGATTTAACTGGGAAGCAAGTTCCTCCTGCACTGCCCCCACAGCCAGGGCTCAGCAGCCACCCCAGCTTCACACCAGCACGGGACACAGGCAAGAAGATGTGCAGGGGTGGCTCGTGGGAGAGCTGCTCCCGGGAGAGAGCCTCTCCATGGATGATGAAGGCCAGGACACTCTTGTTTAGCTCTGCAATTTATAGATATCCCTTCAGCATTATCTCTCCAAAGGAAAGCTCCATGGCAAATAAACACATCCCAGCTGCAACGGGGCCTGGATTCCAGAGCTGGAGTGGGTGGGACATGTCCCTGCAACTCCCAAATGTTTCTCCTTCCTTTCCTTGGGCCCCAGCAAGCAGAGAATTGGGTGGAACTGGCACCATGGTGCTGCTGTGGAGTGAAGGGTTCCTGGGCTGAATCCCCACTGGGCTGTTACACCCCTGTGTGCAAAGGGAAACTGAGGCACAGAGCTGTGGGACTGACCCATCTCAGTAAAGGGACAAGCTCACCCTGTCCAGGAGGTGATGTGGGACCTGGATTTGGTCAGCTCTTGGTCAGCAGAGCAGGCTGGGATCACTGGGGTGTCCCCAAGGGAATCAGCCTGCCAGGGACTGTCCCAGAGCCACCATCCCAGCCACCCTCTAAAGCCAGCATGGATTCACAGGCCTGTGCTTCAGTTTGTGCCTTTCTCTGCTCTAACAGAGATCCCCAGCAACTGCACTTGTCACAAATTAATTCAGGGAAGTCCCAGGGCTTGTTATCTGTCAATTAGAGCAGCACAGCCGCTCCTCTGGCTTCCAAGCCTCCAGGCTGGTGGGGAATATTTGGCAGCCACACAACAGAGCCAGGTAAACCCACCCTGGAGAATTGGGGTGGATGTGCCTCCCTCTGCCACCCTGGCTGTGCCAGCTGATGAATCAAAGGCAGCTGAGAGCTGGTGGCACCCAGGGATGCACTCCTGGCTTTAGCTGCTGTTTGACAGAGCACACGGGGAGGGAGGAGCAGGTCCCAGGAAGGAGCACCTCTTTTTGAGTCCCACATGATCTCTGTGCTCCCCTGGCAGCAGGGGTGGCCAGGTCAGGGTGACCTGCCCCAGGAATTCCTCCCAGAGCCCTTTCTGGGAAGTGCAGCCAGCTCCTGGGTGCAGCTGGTGGTGATCCCTGCATCCCTGGCTGTGGGAGCCAGCCCAGAGGCCACGGCTGCTGATGAAGATAAAATCCTTCCTCACCACCTCCCCCAGCCCCAGCAGCACACAGAGCCCACCCGAGCAGCCCCCCAAAAACGCTGGGGGGATGACGGGCAGAGCAAGCCCCAGCCAGGAGGGCAGGGGTCCCACCAACCTCCTCAGCATGGAAAATCAGCTGCTCAGAGCTGAGTCAGCCCCGGGCTGGGGAGGGGAAAGTCAGCAGTTCCTCTCCCAGCACTGGCTCCCAACCTCAGCAGAGCCAGCCCGGGTTCCCACAGCGCCCTGGCGCCTGCCCCAAGCACGTGCAGGACAGAGGAGGGGACAGCAGCCCCTGGCCTTGGCACAGCACTTCTGCTCTGGGACAGCACGGCTCCAGCTCAGCAACGAGCCCAGACAGGGGAGGAACCAGGGCTCTGCTCCCCCAGTGACACCAGCACCTCTCGGCTCCTTCCCCTCCCTCTCCAGCTCATCACACATCTGAATCCCGGCTCTCCGGCAAGCAGAGCTTTATTCCTGCTCCTGCCATCCCAAAAAACACCCCAGCCTTTCCCCGGTCGCCCAGGCACCCTTACAAAGAGCATTGTGCAAAGGCAGACGATCTAATCCCACGTCTGATCTCTCCCCACTGGCCCCCGGGCATCCCGAGCTGCTGCCAGCCATGCCTGGGGCTGCTCCACACAGCCCTGCAGAGGCATGGCAAGTCCTCCCCTCGCAGCTCCTGCTGAAAACCCTGCACTCTTTTCCCTGTTTTCCCATCATTTTTAGGGAAGAGGGTTGAAGCAGAGTGTTAAATCCCAGAGCTGCAGGGTCTAGCCCCCCAGTCTGGCCCTCATTCCTGGGCCAGCTCAGCACCAGCATCCCCTGCTCTTGATTTTGGGGCTGTGTTTGCAAACCCTGCAAGGTTTGCAAACCCCCAGGGGCTGCAGGGTGCTGCCCTCTGCAGAACCAGATGGGGTGGGCTGAGCCCCCTGTTTTTTGGGAGCCTGGCAGCTCCCTCCCCACCCCGGGGACCTCGTACAGCGCGTGCCCTTCTGCTCTGCTGCCTCTCCAGAGGCGACGAGGCGTGGCCTGATGGCAAGTGGCATCTGCCATCTGATGCAAACCACCTTCCATCAGTGCCAGCCCTGCCCGGCGACGGGGGCCACACGCCTCATTACCCCCGTGCTGGGCTGGGCTGTGCTGGGCCAGGGGGGCTGCGCTGCCCACCGAGCTTCAGCCTCGCTGTCCCCCCCTCCTCATCCTCCCCCTGCACTCTGCCAGCCCAGGTAGGCGCCGCTGCAGGGACAGGGACAGGGACAGGGACCTAATGTGGCCAGACAGGGAGCAGATGGCAGGAGCCATTAGGCTGAGGCCCTCCCAAGTGTCACCTTGAGGAAAAACACTTCAGACAAGTCCCTGAACAAAGGACGGGTGCTCTGAGGGCTGGAGCCACCAAGAGCTGGAGCCACAAGGACTGGAGACACCTGGGCTGGAAACACCTGGGCTGGAGCCACATGGACTGGAGACACCTGGGCTGGAGCTATCAGGGCTGGAGCCATGAAAGGCTGGAGCCATCAGGGTTGGAACCACCAAGGGCTGGTGCCACCAAGGCTGGAGCCATCAGGGTTGGAACCACCAGGAGCTGGAGCCACAAGGACTGGAGCTGTCAGGGCTGGAGCCATGAAGGGCTGGAGCCACCAGGATTGGAGCAATGAAGGGCTGGCACTACCAGGATTGGTGCCACCAGGGCTGGAGCCATCATGGCTGGAGCCACCAAGAGCTGGAGCCACCTGGGCTGGAGCCACTTGGGCTGGAGCCACAAGGACTGCAGCTATCAGGGCTGGAGCCATGAAGAGCTGAAGCCACTAGGGTTGGAGTCAACAAGGGCTGGAGCCACCTGAGCTGGAGAAACCTGAGCTAGAGCTACAAGGACTGGAGCCACAAGGACTGGAGCCATGAAGAGCTGGAGCTATCAGGGTTGGAGCCATGAAGGGCTGAGGCTACCAGGATTGGTGCCACCAGGGCTGGAGCCATCAGGGTTGGAGCCACCAAGAGCTGGAGCCACAAGGACTGGAGCTATCAGGACTGGAACCTTGAAGGGCTGGAGCCACCAGGGTTGGAGTCAACAAGGACTAGAGCCATCAGGGCGGGAGCCATCAAGACTGGAGCCACCAGGGTTGGAGTCAACAACGGTTGGAACCACCAGGGTTGAAGTCAACAAGGGCAGGAGCCATCAAGGCTGGAGCCACCAGGGTTGGAGGCACCAGGGCTGGAGCCAGCTCGCTCCCAGCACCACCCCAGCACGCTCTCACTTCCCCCTCTGCCCTGGAGCTCGGCTTCGTTTCGGTTCCCCGCTGGCCGCTCCCAAGCTGCCCCTCACCCTCGCCCCTTCCCCGCCGTCTCCCCAGCTTGTGGCTCCCCCCAGGGTTGCCTCACATCCCCCTTCCCTCTCCTTCCCCACCACTCTGGCGCTGGTGCTGCTGATTTTGCTCTGGCTGCCCGTTCCCAGGCACAGTTTCAGTTCCTCTTCCCCTGGCCCTGGGGTGGGAGGGATGTGTCCACCCTGCTGCTGTCCCTCAGTGGGAAGCAGGTCCCTGCACATCTGAGGGGGTCACAGGCTGAATCCTGCATGGGAGAAGCTCATCCAGAGGCAAATCTTATTCCTCCCTGACCAGCACAGGGATGCTGGACCCTGGAGAAGCTGCTGGAGATAGCAGTCGTGTAGTAAAACAGCCCCACGTAGTAAAAAGCTCTGTTATTCCTGGGAATAAATCAGGCCAATATTTAAAAATAAAGGTGCTGGCAGGTGCTTGAGTCCCAGAGAGGGCCTGGAATAAATAAACCTGCAGCCAGTGGCAGGTGGTGGCCAATTCCTTAATCTGCCCTTTTACTAAACATATCCCGTGCGAGCAGCCAGCAACAGGTGGCAGGGGCTGGCCAGCACCCCAATCTGGCTATTTTTAAAAAGAGCTTATCTCACCCTGCTTGGAGGGGTTTTTACATAATCTTTAGCCACTGAAGGCCACTCCTCGCCCTGTGAGGAGAAAGGGGGAGCAGGCAGAGGAGCCCTGGGTTTGTACCAGTGACAGGATAAGGGGAAATGGCCTCGAGTTGTGCCAGCAGAGGTTGAGGTTGGCTGTTTGGGGTCATTTCTTCATTGAAAGGGTTGTCAGGGAAGTGGTGCAGTCACCATCCCTGGAAGTGTTAAAGGTGTGTGGGTGTGGCACTTGGGGACGTGGCTTTGTGGTGGATTTGGATGATCTTAGAGGGTTTCTCCAACCAAAACAATCCCGAGATTCTGTGGGGAACGTGGGCAAGCCCTGGAGGGGATGTGCTGCTTGCCAGGAAGGAGAAGAATCCCAGACAGTCCTAGGGTGGCTCTGGCTCCTGCCACAGCCACACCAGCCCCCAGGTGTGGTCACTACTCCCCTTCCACCCCAATCCTGGGGACAACAGCTGATGGCCAGATGTGTTGGTCCCTCAAACCCACCCTGAGCAGCCCCCCAGAGGAGCAGGACGCCTCCAGCTTAGTTTCCCCCTTATCCTTGTGCTTTTTGGCCCCCCTTGGTGCCTGTCTGCAGGAGGAAACCCCCAGAGACAGGGACACCCCAGGCCAGCAGCGACCCCTCAGCAGCGTCCCCTTACCTGCGGGCTGCTGGTGCCGAACCCCAGGCTGGGCGTGGAGGGGACAGACATCGAGTGTGGGCCCATGGGGGAGCTGATGACGGAGAAGGGGGGGCCCATGCCGTTGATGGGCGAGCTGAGGGTGCTGATGGGCGAGTGCAGCTGGCCCGGGGAGCCCAGCGAGGAGCCGATGCCCGGCCCGATGGACGGGTGCAGGGACGGGGTGGCCATGGGCCCCCGGCTGGTGGGGGAGTTCAGGGACGTGGAATTCACCTGGTTGGAGAAATCTGCAAGAGAAGGAGGAGAGGAAAGGGGTTGAGTCATGCGTGTGGGGCACGGCCCTGAGCTGCAGCCCCACTGTTTCTCCCACAAAATTCCCAGCGCAGCTCCGTCTTTCCAAACCACCTTCTTCTGGAGGATCCATGCAGGTATTAATGCTGAGAGCATTTCCACCTTGTTAAGAGCATTTCCACCTCAACCAGGCATCAGTGCCCTCCTCCACCTCCCTGGCACAGCTCTAAGCTCTGCCAGGGGCTCAGCGTGGCTGCTCCAGCTGATTCCCTCCTGCTCCAGGATAATTTGGATTTATCACTGGGCCAGGCCGTGCGTGGGGAACAGTGAGAGCAGCACCCACACACCGTGGAGGTGGCTCAGTCTGTGCATCACACACATGTCCATCCACGGGGAATGCTGCATGTTCAGAGGCTGAATTTGAGGATTTTGAAGGTCCTTTCCAACCTGAACGTGTCTGTGATTGTGGAAGGGAGGGGAAGCAGGAGCAGCTCTGCAGGCAGCAGGACAGGCTGCGTCTGCCTGTCCCGCGGGAGCAGAGCAGGGGGGCGGGAAGGGGGGCTTATAAATAGACTCCAGCTCTCCCAAGAGGAGACATGGAGCCATTCCTGGCACATTTCCTCCTCATCCTGTCACGCTGCTTGCAAAACAATCCCCAGCGAGGAAGGGGCTGGCTCCGGCCCCCAGGGAGGGGCGGGCGGAAGGCGGCGGGGAAGGAGGGGGACAGCACGGGCAGGGCTCCCCCCACAACCCACCCGGACCCCCCAGCTCACACAGGGACATCCAGAGATGGGGACACACCAGCACAGCCACTGGGGTGTTCATGGTGGGTCTGCCTGTGGCTGCAGACCCCAAAGTGAATTTATTCTGTCTTCAGTCTCCTGCACCCATCAGGATCAGCTGTGTCGCCGGGATTTTGGAGCAATCAGCACATGAATGTCACCCAGTGGGAAACACTGAACCCACAGCAGCCCAGCCTCAGCAACCTTCCCTGGAGATCCCAGATCCTGGTGGGGAAACCCCAGCAGGAGGAAGAGAAGGTTCAGCAAGGCAGCGATGCTGCTCTCGCGAAGATGTGGAACCAGCATCCCCCTGCTGCTTCCAGAACCCCATTACTGCACCCAGAACCCCACTGCTGCACCCAGAGTCCCACTGCTGGACCCAGAACCCCATTGCTGCACCCAGAGTCTCACTTATGCAACCAGAATCCCACTGCTGCCTCCAGAATCCTTTTGCTGCCTCCTGAGCTCCATCACCACATCCAGAATCCCACTTATGCCTCCAGAACCCCACTGCTGCCCCCAGAGTCCCTTTGCTGCCCCCAGAATCCCACCACCACACCCACAGTCCCATCACTGGCCCCAGAACCCCAATGCTGCCTCCAGAACCCCACTGGTACATCCAGAATTCCATCACTACCCTCACCATGCCCCTGCTGCCCCCAGAATCCCATCACTGCCTCCAGAACCCCATTGGTACATCCAGAATCCCATCACTGCCCCCAGAACCCCACTGCTGCCTCCAGAACCCCACTGGTACATCCAGAATTCCAATTCTGTCTCCAGCACACCACTGCTGTCCTCACAATCCCTCTGCTGCCCCCAGAATCCCATCACTGCCCCCAGAATCCCACCACTGCCCCCACAATCCCCCTGCTGCCCCTGGAATGTCATCACTGCCCCCAGAATCCCATCACTGCTCCCAGAACCCCACTGCTGCCTCCAGAACCCCACTGGTACATCCAGAATCCCAATTCTGTCTCCAGCACACCACTGCTGCCCCCAGATTCCCCCTGCTGCCCCCAGAGTCCCATCACTGCCTCACTGCTGCCCCAGGATCCCCAGAATCCCATCACTGCCCTCACCATCCCCCTGCTGCCCCCAGAGTCCCATCAGTGCCCCCCTGCTGCCCCAGGACCCCCAGAACCCCGTCTGTGACCCCAAAGGCACCCCCGGGCCGTGGCAGGGAGCAGCCCTGTGCCTGGGGCTGGCCTGGCCGGGCTCTCACAGGATGTTGACACAAGCCAAGCGCCGGCCACCGCGTCACCCGCGGCTGAGTGACGTCAGGGGGGCACCGCAGCAAGCCCAGGAAATTCCTGGAGGATTCCAGGGCAGGGTTTAGCACAGCACTCCCCAGCTCTCTGGGTTTGGGGTTTGGAGAGGGCTGGGAGAGCAGCAGAGCCATCCAGCAGGAAAACCCCACAAACAGCCACGGGGTGATGGAGGGAAACCTTCCAAGGATGCAGCAGATGCAGGGCAAACAGGCCCTGAGCTGTGCAAAGGGAAGGCAGCAGAGCACAGTCCTTCCTTTGGAAAGGTCGGGAATATTTCAGGCAGAGAGGTCACAGGAGGGTCACTGGCAACTGGCTCACGCCAAGCACGTGTGGGGCCAGCCCCTCTCCCAAAATCCCAACCCCTGGGCACCTCAGGAGCTCCCTGCACGTCCATGTCACCACACCAGCTCCCCTCACACACCCTGCTCCCATATTGGTGTGATTCCCAGTAAGGAAATGGGAGGCAAAACCAGAAGAGGGATAATGGTGCGTGGAATGGAGCTGTGGGTAGGCACGGCCACTTTTGGGGTGTTTACACCCAAACGGCCACACACTGGGAAATGTGAACCACACCAGGGCTTCTGCAGAGCATCAAAAGTTCCAAGCTCTTGGGCACTGGGAGGTTTGCACTCCTCATCCAAACACTCCCAGCTCCAAAACCCCACTGGGAGAGCGGCAGCAATGGCAAACATTTACTTCCAGCAAGCAAATATGGTTTTTTAAACTTAGCAAAATCAACAGTCCACTTGAGGCAGCTCAGTGGACTGCCAGTCCCTGGCTGGAGGGAATTGGAGTTTGGGGGAAACAGAACTTGAGGTGGAGAGATGGGCATCAAGAGTGGGATGTGAGGAGTCTGCCCTCTTCCCCATCACAAGTGTCCTAAAGGGCCTTGACTGCAAAAAGAATGCTACAAAAATAGATAGATTTAAAAAAGAAAAAAGCCTAGATTGAGGAAATATCCTTAACAGACACAAATAAATTCCCAAACTGATGAGCACCACTTGGACTGCAGCAAACAGAGGAGGCATTTCCCCAAAGGCATTTTCAGCTCAAGCATTGTGAGAGTGTTCCTTCTCCTCGAGGACTTCTGCCATTTAAAGCTGCTGTGTGTGACTATCTCTTGACCAAAATAAACTCTGTGCCTGTTTCTAAATTAAAGAAAAAAACAGAAAGAAAAAAAAAAAAAGTTCTGAAAGCATTTCCCCTCTGTCACACCCCTCAACTGCAGCTATTTTCTGTGTGTGTCCTTTGTTTCAGCACAAGGACCTCTGTCTCTCCCCAAAGATGCCCCATGGCAGTTGGGAGATCAGAAACCAGAGCTCGTCAGCAGCTGCAGAATTTGCAGTGAAGCTCTTTTTCTTCCTCCAAACTACGAGCCTGCCAGCCACGGAGTTTGGATGGGAATTTTTCTCCCAAGGAAAATGACATTTAGGGCAGGGCCACATGATTCATGTGCAGGGGATGGCTGCAAGGAGTGTTCCCACAGCAGGAATCATCCCCTGGACACCAGACCCAGCATGGGAGCCTGAGTTTTGTGTTTCTGGTGCTCATCCCTTTCCCTCAGCAGATCCTTGCCTTTCCAAGATCTCTTTGGGATGGATTCCCACCTCACAGAGGTTTGCAGCAGCAGCAGCAGCCCCCAAACCAGACAAAAACTGATGCCAAAGCTGGGAACAGATCCTGGCAGTTCCAAAATCCAGGCTAGCATCTCAACTGCATTGTTCTTCCCTCAGACAGAACTCTTCTGGCATAATAATAATAATAATAATAATAATAATAATAATAATAATATTGATAATTTTCAATAAAGGGAAAAAAATCTTCATAAAATATTGGTACCAACACCCATGGGCAGCTCCACTGCCGTTTTCCACCCCCTTGGCACTCAGCACAAAGCTCCAGCTTGGAGCAGCCAACATCCATGTCTGGCTGCACCCCAGATGGGCAGGTCAGACCCTCCAGGAACACCCGGAATGCCACCAGCCCTCGCCACCCTTCCCTGTGGCATTCTGTCACCCAGTGTCACTCCAAGTGCTGCTGCCTGGCCAGGGCACGTCTGCAGCAGCTGAAGCAGCTTCTGCTGACCCAGCACTACCACCAAGGGCTGTGATTTTAATTTTTCTAGACCACAAAATGTCCCAGAGCAGAACAATTCCAACGTGCAAAGGCGCTTTTTTTCCCAGGATAGGTCATTTGTACTGGAATAAAGTGTACCAGCATAAGCTTTCACCAGAATAATCTTCATTTATGCCTAAGAGGCTTTGCCAGTAAAACTACAGTGACCTAGCTCTGCTGGAAAACCTTTTCTGGCATATCCTGGCAGTTTACTCAGCAGCTCCGTGGCTCAGCACTCAGAGCTGAGAGAGGGGAAGTTAAAAAAAAATAATTTCAAGGCACAAACAGATTCCCTGAGCCGTGGTTTTCTGTAACTGAGGACAGCTGCCCACCTAGGACAAAATCCATTGGGATCAAGGGGTTTGCAGCAGGTCGGGGGGGGTGTTTGAGGAGATGTCACTGTAGGACCAACCCAAGAGCCTGTCCCTGGCACCAGCTGAGATTTGGAACGCCACTCACAACCTCCTGCTTCCGCTTTTCTTTTTTTTTTTCCCCCCCTCAGCACCTCTTCCTCCTTAATCAGAAAGCGAATCAACCCTGGGTATTAAACAGGAGGAAATTCTAAATTTGGGCTGCCACTCCCTTCCTTAAGTCAGCTCTCGGTGTCAGAGCTCTGCGGGGCCACGCTGGGAGGGGAGCAGGACCATCCTCCTCCTCCTGTGCTCTCCAGCATCACTTTGGGGTGCCCAGCTTCCAAATCCTCACCCCCAAATGCACGTGGAGCATTAAAGGCACAGCTCCACGTTCCTTCTTTGGTGACTCTATACCAAAATGAACCTGGCAGTGCAAATCCGTGTCCTTTTGCTTTCATTCCTCAAAAGCAGGTTGGGAATCTCACGTGCTTTCCAAACCTCAAAAGATGGAGGTTTCCCTTTCCTTGGCTCTCACCTGCCCCACAGGAACCAGGGGATGAGTGGAAAACAGCAGGAGAACAAGAGGATCCAGGCAGGACAGTGCTTTCCATGCGGAAATTGCCATGGTAATGCTGCGACCACAAGAGGTCAGGTCCTCGCTTTTGTCCTGATCACCAGCTGGGGGATGAATTTAAATAGCCCCTGGCCTACAATCTTGAGTAAGTTTGCTCCCAGTTTATAGCAGCACAGCTG